ATAATTAACATTTTTTGAAATAATAATTTACAAAAAAATGTATTTTAATTTTATACTAAGCAATTTAAGCATTAGAAAATAGAGGCAAGTCATGGCAAGAAGCAAAGCTAATAGCAAGAGACAAAAAGCAATGGAGAAAATTTGTATATAAATAGTTAGGAAATTAATTATATGAAATTATTTGTAATCCCGACACCTAAGGGTAAAAGGGAATTTGATTATATATATATATATGGACAATGGTTTTNTATATATATATATATACTAAGTAATTTAATATAAAAAGTGAGAGGTATCCATTAGAAAAATGAGAAATATAAAGAAAAAAATGCGATTTAATATTAAACAAAAAGTAAAAAATCTCATTTTATCTGTGAACTCTAGCATCTGTGTTTTAATTTTTCATTTACTCTTTATTATAACATAAAAGTACAAAAGTATTAAATTTTTGCATTCAGTATTTTAGAATAAATTATAACAATTGTTATAAATGGAATTTAAAGTAACAATGACTTTTTTGAAATAATTATTTTATCAATACTTTTATTTCTTATCAATGGCCTATTTATTTAAGAAATACGTTTATTTAAGATCATGTGATCATATTTTATTATATAAAGAGCATTACTCTTTTACATTTATAAAAGAAATAAACCTAAATTAGCTGTAACTTTTTACATTTTTATCATCTATAAAGCCCCCTCTATAAAAAGTACGATATCTATATCTATATTCACATTTAATAAAAATTCGATTATTAAATTAAAGTGTGACACTTTATTTTTGATATATTTTATAAAATTTTTAAATTGTTTAATTCATTAAAAAAAATCCAAACTAAACTGCTGTAATGGAAATTTTGCCCAGCATTTGACTAATGAATATATAAAATATATGACATAATACTTGTATAATATTAAAGTTATCTTAATGTAATAATCCCAGAGGTATTAAACAATGACACAATAAATTTACACATACACACTAGTATAGTAAAATATAGGCCAACTATTTATTACTTACGAGTATTACAGTAATACATTTGTTCAAATCGTTCTATTTAGTAATAATTTACTCCTGGGCATATAGATATTTAATAAATCTATGCCACAACAAGTAAAAGTAACTTTATATTCTTCAAGGGAATTTCCGTGTACGCAAGGCATTTTATACATAAATAAGATTAGCCTATATTGAAATACTTCAGATACACATGCAACTGGTGCATCGACGTATTCTCAATATGCCTTTCACCAGAGTTAAATACTTTTCCAGTTGCATATATGTATATTGCATCGAAATTATTGAGAACATTCGTACATGTTGAAAATATATTGTGGAGACTGCAGCAGTTAAGAAGCGGGAAAGTTACGCATTCAAGTGGTTAATTAAACAACATTATCAAGTTAGTTTATAATTGCATATACAGTGCGTGCAGCGATTTTGTCCCGAAGAGGGAAATCCTTTTTATTTGTAGATTTATGTGGAAATGTCTATAAATTTTATAGAGAATGACTTTTATCATAAATTTACAAATACAGTTGTCTCTTTTCTAGACTCAATCATTGGACACACTGTATATAGTTGAATACAACTATTTTGAAATTATGTTAATACGTAAATTTATCTATTTTACAGATTTGGCAACCTAACGTATTGATAAACAATACAAATTACAGGGTGCACTATAGATAATACATAATATTATAATAAGAGTGCGTGTACAAAACTAAAATTAAATAAGAATAACAAATTACAATATACATATAATACAATAAATAAACAATATTAATAAGTAATTACCTAGTTTCAACATAATTATATGATTAAGTGTAAAAGAACAAAAGGGAAGAAAAACAAACAAAAAACAAAGCGCAACAAGAAAAAAAGAGGAGAAAAAAACATTCAATTGAATATCAAGCAAGAGCTTGGTGTCTAACCGAGTTGAAAGAGAGGCTGAAAATGTCGATATGATTAAAAAACAAATTACAAGATTTTTGCAACATACTAAATGGGAAGTTATTTGCAGCATTGGAGGCATACGCAGAGTGATAGAATAAATTTAAGGAGCGCGAAATATATTGTTTAATATTAAATGATAGCGAGCTGAAAATGTAGCTGCAGTGAATTTTCCCGAAAAATAATTTATACAAAAAAGAACTGGCGATATGTCTCCTAGAGGATGATTTTAACAGTCTATAGTGCTGTAAATTCGATTCATAGCTTAGTGGTAGCAAGTGCCTATTAAATCGATAGTTTAAGTTATAGATAAACTTTTGTTGGACTTTTTCTAAACGTTCGATATATCTAAGATATTGTCGCAAACTCAAGATGAGATCGGACCCTGGAATTATATAGTAAGATCAAGGACCTGAGGTCACGAAAGGATTTAGTTACACGTAAAAGAAATTTAAGATTACGCAAAGCCTTACGCACAACATATTCAACATGAATTTCGAAAGACATTTTCGAATAAAAAATGACATTCAGATCCCTAATGGAATCCACTTTTTGTAGCAGAGTATTGTTTATTTTATAATTAAAATCTATATTATTTTTTAGACGGTTGAATTTAATGAATTGACATTTATTAATATTATAGAACAATTTGTTAAAACAATCATTAGCGAAACGGTCGAGATCAGATTGAATATTCAGATAACCAGTAATAGATAAAATTCTTGAGAATATTTTCAGATCGTCAGCATAAAGTGCATACTCATAGTAGCGGAAACAGAAGCCAATGTCATTAATAAAAAAGAAAAGAGCAATGGTCCCAAATGCGGTATACAAGACGTAACGTGAACAAAATTTGACGTTGAATTATTGATTGACTCACATTGACACCTTAAATAGGATTTTATCCATCTTAATAGATTCCCATGTATACCGATATTCTCCAACTTTACGAACAATGTAGGATGGTGTACCTGATTTTGGGTTTCCAGAATTTCAATTATTTTTTGTACATATTACAAGATTAGTAGTAGGTAACCGACCTGCCTTGGAAAGAACCATGTTCCTCCTCTCTATAATAAGATTTTTATATTGAAAGAAAAGTTCCTCGGTATTAATAGCCTCAAATATCTTAGCAGGTATCGATAATAATAAAATTGGGCGATAATTAGTTACATCACTCTTACATCCTCCTTTATAAATGGACACGAGCCCCTTTCCAGGTGCTAGGAAACACACCTTCAGACAGTGACTTATTGAAAATTAAGTAGAGGTATTAGAAGCGATGTTTTGCAAGAATGAACAAATATTTCCGGCAGGCCATCTGGATCCGCTTATATAATCAATTATGCACGTTATGGGATGAAGCATAGATTTTATAGCATAGATTTTGAAGATTTAGAAATTAAAATTAATATTGCCTTGTCATTTACAATCCAATAACCTACAAATATTTTAACTGATGTTTGGAATATATTAATGCGCTGAATCCGAATCCGTCGTTAGATTTGCTGAAAATCCTATGGGTGCTGAAGACTCCTAGGATTTGAATAAACGGCTAAAAAGCGATCTAATGGGCATCAGTAACGTTTTGAAAATATTTATTTTAAACAGCGTTTTTAACCATCCATGTTCAGCGTGTCAAAATACATAGGAATAAGATTTGTTTGATAATTACTAACAAATTTATGTACAAAATGAAATGTTTATTTTAGAAAAATTCACAAATAAGTTATAATATATTCTCACCACAATTTTCAAAATCCTTAACAATAGTAATATAATTAATATGTTCTCTTTATTGCTCATAAATCAAAAAAGTTTTGAATTTTTTTGGTTTCAAAAAAATATACAGGATGTTTCTGAAACAAGTGCGTTCCTTAAAAAGGGTGATAGAGGGCACGAAAATAAGCAACTTTTATTAAACTGATGGTCTAAAACATTACGATTTAAATTGCCGTCGTTGGTATGACATCCAGCTTTGATATCGAAGTTGCCGAGCGCGAAAGCGTTGATGACGGCTTTGAGGGTTTAAATTTTGTGTTCGAAAACGCTGAAATTTATTCAAATCTCGTTTAAAAGTAACAAAAAATTAAACGAATTACTTACCAATATGCTGTACAAAAATTGTTGAAAGTTGTTTCCATGTGCTAATAAACTTGCTTCCAAACGACGACGGTCAAAATTCTGTCACCAAAAACACCACACCAGACATTCACTGAAAACTGTTGCTGGAACCGAGATATCTGTACAACGTGAGGATTTGCATCACACCAAAAGTGAATGTTGTGAAAATTTAGTAAAACAACATTCATCCGTAAAAAGCACATTGCTTGTAAAATCCGGATCTTGTGCTATTTGATGTTGAAACCACTGGGAGCTGAAAATCATTGTTATTTATTACCTGAACCCTTGGTACATGATAGGGTGTAATCATTGTTCCCGTAGTACTGTTAGATACACCCACTTTTCGGACAATGTCGCGAGTACTGCGCCTCAGATCCTCCTCAACGAGGTTTATGATGTTTTCTTCGTTGTCGAAAACATGTTGCGGCCTTTCCTGTCCACGACCTTCAAATGTCAGGTGGACATTCCCGGTATACGAATCCTTTTGCACTGTTCCATTGTTAGGTTATCGTCTGTTACGGTAACCGACCGCATACAAAGACAAGTCTGATTCAATAACATTGCAACACACAATTAAAAAACACAAGATATACTGACCTACCATCAGATTTGCTTGATTGTAGAAGTCACGTGAAACGTCAGCCAATTAGAGAAACCCTTCACGCATGTAGCGAGTCCGTAGCATTCTGTCCGTGCACGTGTACAAGATGCACAGGGTCAGTTTACATTTATGGTTAATTTTCTTAATTAATTTTCCCGAAAACAGAAGCATTTAGACCACCCGTTGCTTTATAAAAGTTGCTCATTTTAAACTCTATCAACCTTTTCAGGGAACGCACTTATTTCAGAAACACTCTGTATAGTATGTATCTTAATTGTTAGTGACAACTTTTAGTAGTAAAATTTTTATGTTTCAGGAAGAAGTTAATCTACTATGAATAAATTAGTATGCTCTTCGGGTATATTTCTTCTTCAGATAATCTTATCGACAGTTGACAGCACCAATTCTGGGTACAATATATTTTTACAACCACAAGTTGATGGAAGCGCCTATTTCCCTAGTCGCCCATATTCCAGTGAAGTTATCAAACCCTCGAACCTTGACATTTTTGGAGGGTAAGAAAGTTTGTTATTAGTTTTTAAGTTAATAGAGTTTAATAGATATTGTAGTATAACAACCCTAGGTTCGACAAAAAATAAGTAAACGTAATTGTGGCCAAAAATGTGATCGTCATAAGGAATACCTACGTTGTGTGTATTTATTTTTTATTGACCGGAAGGCGCTGGCTACTAACTTTGTAGAGGGGATGTATGGTTTAATTATATAAAACAAAAGCAGAGTAAATACACCTAACCTTTATTTACATACAATTCAAATTAAACATGTGACAAATATAAAGAACAACAAAAATATCAACAACCATTTAACATGAAAGGAGAGTGCCAGGCTCACCTAGAGCTCCTGCGGGGAAAGAGCATGGCAGAGAAACCCACGATCGTAGCTCTTACCACCCAAATATAAATACAAAACAACCGCTAACCAAAGGCATAAATTAAGAATCTTTGCTAATGATAAATAAAACTGGACTTATTTAATTTCTCACTAAATGTCATCTCACTCAAGTCTGACATACACACTTCCAAGTAAAACTGAAGAGGTTTTTGTAACAATAATAGCAACAACAACAACAACAATAATAATAATAATAGCAATAATAGTAGGGAAGGTACTGGAGTCCCATACGGGAGGCAATCCAGCTAAAGTTGAGATTTCGGGAGAACAACAACAATAATAACAATAATAATAATCATGGGTGAAAATTTTAGTAAATTCAACAACGCTTTTACGTACGTATGACATAAAGTGAGCACAAGAAATCAAAGAACAACGTAATCAAGATAAAACAAGTTAAATGTGAATGTGAAAGAAGTTGTTTTGCAATATCTGAGCAGACACGACAATATATACATATTTCAACATGTAATAAATAATGAGCAATCGTTAATAATAATTGTAACAATTTTATCTTAGAGAAATATACGCCCCTGAGCGTAAGACAATGAAGGCTAAACATATACAGAATTATTATCATGAAACATCTAGGTTTTTCGAACAACGCTATCATGACAAAAACAAGTTAGATGTGAAACAAATGAGTCGTTATTGTAATGTCTGGCAATTACGATAAGATATGTATATTTTAACATGAAATAAATAATGAGCAATCTTTAAGAATAATTATAACAATTTTACCTTAGAAAAATATATGCCCTTGAGCATAAAGCAATGGAAGCTAAACTTACAAAGAATTATTGTCATGAAACATCTATAACCATCACAATCATAAGATTATATAGAACAATTAACAACAAAGTACTTAAAGAATATTACCTGCTAACTAATACCATTTTAACCCTTTTATTTTTCACTACTTTGACACACTGCCCGCCGATCGTCTTACTACCTATCTGCACACTGTTCTCACTTCAACTGCCTATCTTCAACTATTTAGGCTTCTTTCCAGAATGCAATACCTAGGCGTATTTCTTTTTTGCGCTTCCTTCTACCAACCGTTAGTATTACTTTTTCATTGTTATACAACACTCATGTAACAGGTGACGTGAAGTTGATAAGAGAAGTACGGTTTTGCACAATATTGATGTGCTTTTCGACAATATTTGAAGAACATTCCAACAAACGGTTGATTAGGAAAAGGTTCTGCTTGTTATAGAAAATAGCAGTGAGGAAAGATTCTAAAACTAACACAATTTTATTAATTTTTGACTGTTTTTATTTAAAATAATAAATATCTAGCTAACTATCCCCATGAAGATTTATGAAAAAGTAGTGATGTTGTAGTGGATGTCGAATATTGAAAGCATAGCTTTTTAATAACCAGAAAATTCTTATTTATTATATAGAATAAAATTATAACTTCAATTCGAACATACTTTATTTTTTGTTAAAAAATAAATGTTTGTATACCAAATGCTTTTGTGCCTTTTCCAACCTATTGATGTTCGTACAATGAAATATTGTTTCGAAATAAAAATAAGGCTATTATAGAAAAAAGGGCCATTAAATGGACACAATGTATACATATTATAATTTAGTCAATACCTGCCTTTGATTAACACTCCTAGCATTTTTTCAACCTCATCCGTCTACATGAAAAAGATATAAACATGATAATTTTCTGAAACCTTTCAAAACTACGTACCTACAGGCAAATGATTTATTAAGACTTTTAGATTAAAAAAATATTTGTTTCATGTGATATTACTATAAATTTTTCTGCTTTCCACAAAAATTTTTAGAAATAGTTTCAGTTTTCAATTAATTCGTAAGTCCTACGTAAAAATTTAAAATGATTTTCTCCCAGATTACAAGATCTTGTACATTAAGAAGGATATTTTGATTTGTTTTAATTTTTTATTTCTCCGGATATTGGCAGTTAAATTTTTTAACGTTATCGTACATTATCACCGCATTGTATGATATACCAAGTGCTAGAAGCTAGACCATCAATTAATAAGGGTATAATATTTTACAAGAAAATTTTACTAATTGTCAATACGTATTACAACGTGATCGATAATGAAAAGAGTTCAAATTTCACAATTTTGTGAAAAAAAATAAGGAGTTAATAACATCTTTATGAGATTATCTATTTCGACATGAAAATTAACTGAAATTATGTACTTGAGATGAGGTAGATATATAGAAAAGGTAACTAATTAACAAAAATTGCGAAGATGTAGAAAATTTAAATAGCAAATTGCCATCAAATGTGACTCCATTGCAGGATCATAAGTATCATGTAAAATAACCGCACTACGCATTAAAAAGATATTTATTTAACATAATTGCCATATTATTACTATTTCATAAGCCTCATCTCAGCAGTTATATAAGCACCATCTGAAATACCAATAAAATATATTAGACACCTGAGTTTCATAAATGCAATAATTAGCTGAAAATTAATGTATGCATATTCGGTTCATTGCGTACCGTTGTGCCAAATTATACCCTCGCCAGTTAAGTCACATCAATTTCAATTCATAATTATTGTCATTATTTCGCTTGATTCTTCTTCCTCTATAATTAAATGGCCATCAGCTGATAAATGTCGTTTTCTATCTGCTGTTCAAATAAACATCCTCCATACCTTGTCGAATTCCATGGTGTTTGTGTTTGGTGTGAAAAAGGTAACCTTTTAACATTCAGAATATTCTGGTCTTTGTTAAACGGAGTTTCAAAAAAGGGGACTTATTTGCAAGAGTTAGGGTGCTGGAAAGATTCTCTTAGATTGTGGATTTATTACTATAATTTTTAGTTGTTGCTCTGCAGTATTAGAAGCAGCACAATCCTGAATCCTTCTTCTTTCTATACATTAACTTTTAATATTCTTTGAATTAACTGCAATGCTTGTTTCACCATCTGCTTTATTTGCTGCCTGATTTTTGTGTGCTTTTGCTCACTATCTGCTTGTTCTTGTTGCCTGCTTGTGGCTTATCTTCTAGCTTCACGACAACTTTAAAACCACTATCTGAAAGTCTGAGATACCAGGTAGAGTTCAACTAAAACCGGTTCAAAACCGATTTTCATAAACAACTCACTGAATCAATTGAAGATTAGTAATGTTGACGTAACGTTTATGGTTATTATAATATTTATTTCGAGTTTGTCTAACAGACTCCTGTTTTCAGAATTATTTTCTGTCTGTATTTTTAAACTTACTTTGGTACGAACTTTGTATGTGTTAAAAAATAAACAGTATGCGTTCTTTGCCTTGAAGAATAACAAAAAAAATAGTTCAATTGATGAAATGTCTTATATATTATTTACTTTTGCATGTATAAGTCAATTCTTTGATAACGTTTTTAAATATTCAAAGCAATAACATATTCGGCGTTGGAAATGGATTTGGACAATCCCAGTTACCCCAACCAACGCCTACGCAAGATCCCGCAACACTAGGATGTGGTACACCTCCAGCAGCTTGTCCCCAAGCGAGGTACAGGTCTTATGATGGTTCCTGTAATAATCTCAGGAATCCAGTACTTGGAACTCCAAATACTCCATACACCAGGTTATTACCTCCTAATTACGCTGATGGTAAGTAACAGAGGTTTAAAAGATAAGTTATATAAGTATTCTAATTTCAACAAATTTTCTCTAGAAGGTATACTTTACACTTAGAATTAATAGAAATAGAAAACCAGTTTTGCTGATTCTGGAATATTTTTTGTAAAATTTAAAGTCTAAGTGTATAAAGCTTTTGCTTCAGTTTAAAAGGCTAGAAGGCTTTGGAAACATCTGAATATAAAAAATTTGCCCTGCTGATTGTGATTGGTAAATAGTAGTAAGTCTGCATATAAATTATTTGTATAATTTTAAACAGAATATTGTATTTTCACAATTTTAATTACAGCAATATCAGTAATTAGCAATATTCCGTCTTGAGACATTTCCAATGTCTTCTGCATTTTTAAAAATGTACCTACGACGTTTATTTTTTGATCTCATACAAAATTTCTAGGCTTCAGAAAAATTGCCATAGCTTTTATAGTCAACATTTTTTCCAATTTCCAAGAATAACAGCTGTAGTAAGGTGCAAAATATAGAGTATGGATGTAAACATAAAATTGTATACAGCGGTCTTATTTTAAAGATGAATAATAGCTATTTATTTTCCTAAAATGAAAAATAAAAATTTTCCCTTTCAAGTTCTTGTTTTTTTAGGACATTGCAAGTATGTATTTTATTTTCCAGGTATAAGCAACCCAACCGCTGCTAGAAGTGGTAATCAACTGCCAGGAGCGCGTACTGTTAGCTTAGTTATTTATCCTGATGTTCAAGTAGAAGATCCTATATGGACTTTGAATGCTATGCAATATGGACAAATTATCACTCACGACATGAGTATGATTGCAGGAAGTACTCAAGCACGTATGTATAGATGTATTTATTTTATACTGTTTTATGCTTCTTTTAATATTAAAATGTTAATTGTATCGTCACATTTCAAGGTTGTTAACTCAAAAAATAGCGTATCTCCATTTAATTGTCTGTTATTATAAAATTAAGAAATCCGTTTTTTTTTTAAATTAAAAAGCTAACTATTAGGTATCAATCAATATTTTTTTAAAGTTTAAAATGCTAATAATCGTTAGATGTACCTAGAAATTGAAAATCTTTGTTTTTGTGGTTTTGTTTATTAGAGCCGCATCAAACGAAATGTTGTACGCCGGATGGTCAGCTGTTAGAGTTCAGCAACATACCAGAGCATTGCTTTCCAATTTTACTACCCGCTGACGATCCAGCTCATTCCCAATTTAATGCCAAATGCATGAGTTTTGTCAGAACGATTACAGATCGTGATCGTAATTGTGTAGGGGGATCACAACCTGCTGAACAGGTAAGTGCATACATCCAGAATGGTTAATTGAAATTAAGTTTATGGAAATATATTTTATTGAAATGTCAAATATGTATTATTTTCTGAAGTACATTTTTTTTAATAATGAAATTATTTACGAAATATCAAATCGGGATATCAAATAGTTTCATTTGATTTTTTGAAAAAGGATTGATTTGTCCTAAAACAATTATGAATTCTACGACCTTAACAGATTTTTCTGCAGTAATTTCTCAAAAATTAGCAATTTACGTAAGCAATTAGCATAATTTACATAATTATGAAAATTTTGAATCTATTAACTAATTAACTTAAAGTTATTGTGATTTTCCCCTAATGCTCCACTGCATATATCTATATCTTTCAAGATCCCTGGGTAATTGATCAAAAACTGTGTTTTACTTCCAATCTTAGAAGGAACGTAGTCCAGGAATTGTTTTAGTTAAACTCCATCTTCACTTAGTTCTGTGTTTGTTTTGATAAGAGGCCCCGACAATGAGATATTTGTTCCAACTTTCCTATTACACCCCGTATTTAATTTTTTGCTGTTAAGATAGAATCACAATAAGCAATCAAAGAGAAAATAGACTTGATAACTTGTACAAGAAAATTATAAAACAAAGGCAACGTTGAATTACAGTTTTATTATAGTCTAGTTTTATTTCGAAAGGTACAATTTAATAGGTGGAACACGTAATTATAGAAAACAAAATAAATTCAAGTAGTAATTTACATTGACATGTTAAAATGAGAAACCAAGACAACGCATAACAAAGTTGTGTTATGTTAGGTGTTAAAAAAATCTCTATACCTAGAAACTATATAATCTGTGGTGTCATAATGAATATCACATGAGAGAGAGATATTTCATAATTACACATAATATAAATAATTTACACATATTAAAATCTGGAGACCTAATTGTAACATTGATTTTTCTACAGCTATTATAGTGCGTAGTGTTTGCAATAACATGATTGCAATATTCGGATTAAAGACTATTAATTCAGCATATAGAAAAAATTTAAACAAAAACTTCAATACAGCACAACTCCTAAACAATAAATAACACATCCACATAATAAATCGACTTTCGGTCAGACCATGTTTATTATACTTTTTTTGGGTCGCTGAATCCGAATCCGAAGTCCATTAAACCCCATCACCTCAGGATTTTCCATAACCTCAAAAAAAAAACGATATTCTGAACAATTAAACCATATAACCTTGACTCAAGCTTCCAACGCTAAATCCAATTAACCAAATCCTACAAACATTTAACCCAATGATATCCTAACCTAACAAGCCCATGAACGCTATAACCCCTATAACCCCATAACCAAGGGAATAAATCATAGTCAATCTGCATTATTGTAAAACATCAGATAGCTGAGGACTGCTTGAAAAACCTAGTACTGAAACCCAAAATGCATCCTATACAGGGTGGTCTCAATTTTATGCAGGAAACTTCGAGGACAGATAGATCTCTTTAAAATAATAGGTGTTTGCCTTATAAACATAGGTCTAGAACGGCCTCGTTTTAGAGATACAGGGTGTTAAAGTTGTTAAAAAAAATTTTTGGTTTATATCTCCGGAATCTATTAACCGATCTTAATAAAATTTGGTACAGATAATGTAGGACAGTAGGCCTTGCATTCCCTAAAATGCGAGCTCTAGAGGTTCAACCAGTGGTGTACAACTGGACAGGGGTCGCCCTCTTTTTATAAAAAAAACCTTCGCCACTGTATTTTTTACAACATATTGTAACAGATTTATATTCTAATGCACTAAATACGTAACTTGAATTTTTTCCCTAAGATTCGCCGTTCTCAAGTTATTCATACCAATACAGTCCCCTTGTGGTAGACATTTCAAACCATAATATTACAAGAATAATAATTCAAATAGATGGTTTTCTAGAGAGTTTAGAAATTATTGGGAATTTGGATGGTAGCAAGAAGAAAGGTCCACAAACTTTATTGCGAATTATTCCGAGCCACACTTTCACAGAAAATTCGTCTTGAAAAGATCTTGTTCGAATTTTATGAGGATTGAACCTTCATCGATCCAAACTATTTTTAGTAAGAATTCTGGATTATGTTGTGACTTTAACAACCACTGACAAAAATTCAGGTGTCTCTCTGCATCTTCCGGAAGTAAATTTTGCACAGGTTGTAAATGGTACTGATTTCTACCATCTTTATGTAGAACTTTTCAAATTTTCGATTTACTCATCCCGAGTTGCCGAGACGTTTTTTAATCCAAAAAGATGAAAGCGACGAGTGTAAAGAATTTTGTTGAAGTGATTACAAATTGCACTTACTTTTAAGCATAAACATAAATACTATTGTAATATTATGGATAGAAGTATCTGCCACAAGGGTGTATTGGTATGAATAACTTGAGAACGGTGAAATTTACGGAAAAAATTCAAGTTACCTATTTTACGTATTTTGTGCATTAGAATATAAATCCGTTACAATAACTTGTAAAAAATATAGTGGCGTAGGTTTTTCTTATAAAAAAGGGGTGATCCTGTCCAGTTGTACACCACTGGTTGAACCTTTAGAGCTAATATTTTAGGTAATGCAAGGCCTACAGTCATACATTATCTATATCAAATTTTATTGAGATCGGTTAATAGATTCCGGAGATATAAACAAAAAATTTAATTTTTTTAACAACTTCAACATCCTGTATCTCTAAAACGAGGCCGTTCCAGTGCTATTATTTTAAAGAGATCTATCTGCCCTTGAAGTTTCCTGCATAAAATTCGGACCACCCTGTATATTGATCTAGTCATTTCACATGTCCGGTATTTTGATCTAGTCAGTCTAGTAATATAATTATTTGGGTTATCTATTGTTATCCTTTTTTTTCAAAAGCTCTTATGAGAGCTATATTATGTACGAAATCCGATCGCTCAACAACCTAGTGTTGTACATCGGGTAATGTTAGGACCGACGATCCTGCCAATTAATGTTATAAAAAACAACTAGATCGACTGTAACACTCGGTTCTTTGGTGATTGGGACCAAAGTACAAAGTAATGAAGTTGTGGTTAGGGAATCGTGGGGTTATGAATTGTAAGGTCATGGGGGTTTTGGGGTTTGAGTGCATATGTTTTTAAGATATCCTCAACCACGTTAACGTTTAACCATAGTACAGATATGATTTGTTAGTTATGGGGTTATGAGGTTGTGAAGTTACGGGGTTATGGACCGGAAAGTCGATTTCTGTTTAAGTAGAGGATATGGCCGCCGAGATATCCGAGATACTTCGTATATGAATTCTATGACTACGTTTAACCAAAAATGACTCTATTTACCATTCTTGAATCTCCAACGGTTCTTGAAATATTGGGGTTAGAAGTTGCCAGGTGGTATGGGTAGTTGATAAAGAATAAATTACATTGTTGTGACTAGAGAGCTGTCCATCGATTTGGATACGTTTCATTGAGGAAATTAGTGACACCTCTTCCATAATAGGACAGAGCACCATCATGTAAAAAGAACATCGTCCTTCTGATTTGAAGAGGAATGTCCTGAAGTAGTAGAGGTTCTCCAAAAAAGCCCTATATCTCGCCGCTCAAATTGTCCTTGAAGAAATGTGGTCCGAACTTCATTATTAATTATTCCAGCCCAAACATCTTTGAAAATAGGTTTCTCTAATAACATGAGGGTTTTCGATTGCCCACACATGATCGTCGAAATTTATGACTCCATCTCTTGTAAATGTAGTTTTATCATAGAAAATGGTTCTTGAAAGAGTATCCAGATGATTGCTCCACAATTCACAAAAGACGAATTCTTTAGGGAAGATCCGTGGGGAAAAGTTCTTGTACTGGTTGGTAATGATAAGGATGCAGTCCGCTTTCTCACAGTGTCTTGATCAGCGATCCTACTTTGTCCAGTAAGTACAGAAATTGTTCATGTACTAGTACCAATGTCATTTTCAACAAACTCAAGCACTTCTTCAGCATTGTTTCTTCGCATAACTTCTCTTTTGTAAGTCGGTTTAGGGAACGGACCTGTTAATCGAATAATTGTGAAGGTTCCATTCAACGTTCGCTTGTTTGGAAGACGGCGGCCGCGGTTTGGATATCGTCGTTGATATTTCCTGAGGCGGTGGTACCACCGTTGAAATATTCATACACGAAAATCATGTCCGCGTATTCCAGCTGTCAATGATGACAATTAACGAACTGACAATCAACAATTTTTTCTAATCCCAACCAAGTTGCTAATTATTAAATTATCTAGCTCTCTAGATACAACAATGTAATTTACTCTTTAGTAACTACCCATACGATCTGGCAACTTCAAATCCCAATATTTCAAGAACTGTTGGGAATTCGGGAAAAATGAATAGAATCATTTTTGCTTAAAATTAGTCATATAATTCATATACGAAGTATCTCAGATACCTCGGTAGCCATCCTGTTAATAAGGTGTCAGTATTGACACAGATAATATCTGAAATGTACTAACTTTTAATAGAACAGAATTAAACTGAGCATGTCTCTAGAAAAGCAAAGTTAATAATTTTATGGAGAATTTTTCTACAGCGTAATCTCGTTGATATAAAGTACAGTTTAGGATTATTTTACCAAAAAGATATATCTAGTTGTATTTTCGAAAATAATAATACACATATCAGTTGTCTGAATACACTAAATAGCACCTTATTCGAATAAATAATTTTGTGAAAATAAGGACCATACTTTGTAATATGTAAAAACTAAATCAAACAATGTTATCGTTAGTTTTTATATAAACTATTTTTAGTTAACAGCTGTAAACCACTATTTGGATCTATCAATTGTTTATGGAAATACCGACCAAGTGAACCAACAAGTAAGACAGTTCCAAGGTGGTCGCCTTCGTGTGGATACAAGACGCGGGCAGCAGTGGCCACCACGTTCTTTAAATGCATCAGGAGTGTGTACAATACAAAATCCAGTAGAAGCCTGTTATCTTGGAGGTAGATATCTTATGCTATATACTATATAAATATAATACTGTATTATATCAAATTTATGTTTTTCTTAAAGTATTTGAGGGTTGCTTTCGGTGTGCAGCAAAATAAAACTCTCTCTCAACGGTAAATAAGAATATTTTTATTGAAAACCAAGTGTACAGAAAAAGATGTGTTGTCGGGGCGAGCGTTCGCTGGAGAGTCTTTGTGTGGAGTCGCTCGCAGGTATAAGTATCTGGTCCTTGGCGCCAATCTGCCGTGGTCCGCTTCCGGGAACCATATCCCGCGTTGCACATTGTTTCTTGTCGCTTGCAACAGCTAGGCAGTCCGTCGTCAGGCTGGCGCTCTTGACATAATACTTAAAATGGGCCACTCGCCAGGCATGCGTACCCTCATATTTATTTAATCGTCAATTTTTATACCATTCCCTTGAAAGTCCCCCTGTGATATTATTCGCTTATGTCAACGTAGTTTCCAGTTCGAGAAACACTGGTGGAACTCCTCTTTACGTGGCGTCTTGAGCATGGTTTGCGATTTTGCGTTCAGTTAATCTATTATTGAAAAATGTTGTCCTTTCAGTATCCTTTTGAGTTTGGAATATAGGAAAAAGTCACAAGGGTCATGTCCGGAGAATAGGGTGGTTGCGGCATCATAACGGTGTTGTGTTTCGCCAAGAACTCTTGGATAAGGAAAGCTGTATGCGCCAGTGCGATGTCGTGGTGCAAAATCTACGAGTTGTTTCGTGTTCTTATCGTTTTATCATGATTGCCTCACGCAAATTGGGCAGAACTTGTAGGTAGTACCTACTCCTTGATAATAAGACGATATGGTAGTGAAAATTCGTGACAAAGTATTCCATTGTAGTCGAAGAAAATGGTAAGATGGACATTTGACTAGATCTCGTCTCATCTCTGATGTCTTCTTGGTCTTGAAAACACTTGCACCATTGATAAACTCATGGCTGTGACATAGTATAGTCACCAAAGGTCATCATGTAAGATATATAAAACAAATCAGTTCATTAATTTTCTCTAATCACTTCCAAAATTGACATACACATAATATTTGATTATGAAAGCTCCCCTTTTTTATGAAATTTGAAATCTATTTTTCAATCGATGAGGATATTCATGATATAAGAAGGAATATTAAGAAGGAGTACTCCAAGCTGATCAAATATAAAAAATATTTGTATGACAGATCTGTTGTTTCTGGCTTGGCTGCTGCTAGTGATCAGAATGTGTTCTGGAAGACGCTAAGAAGACTTCGTACCAATATTAAGTTTACATCTCTTCCTATTTCAGTTCGGGAATAATTCTTTGAAGATGTTTATCCTCAGAGGATAGTTGACAGTACACTATTTTTTGACACTAAAGATCCGATTCTTGATGTACAAAACAATGGCAAATCCCCTGGTGTAGACGAAATATCCTATGAATTCCTTAAAAATTTACCTCAGATGGCGGTTATATCTATGTACTGTATATAATCAAATTCTTGATGATGGCAACACACCTTTAACTTGGTCAAGTGCGATTCTAACAATGCTTCATAAAAAAGGGCCTACTGATAATCCTTCTAATTATCGCAGTATTGTATGGGTTAATTGCCTTGCTAAAGTTCTCACTAGTATTTTACTTTCTCGACTAACGATTTGGTGTGATTTACCGTACGCCCTACCTGAGTGTCAGTCCGATTTTAGAAAAATCGAAGTTGTATTGACAATGTCTATGTTCCCACTTCGCTCATACATCTCCAATTAAGATTAGAAGGCCGTAAAATCTTTGCTGTTTTTATTGACTTTAGAAGAGCGTTTGACTCTGTTGACCACGTTCTACTTTGGTCTAAGTTGTTTCATAGGGGTATTAGCTCTACTTTTATGAGGTTATTGAGAAACTTGTATAACAATGCTCGTGTCCGAGTAAAATCTGGTGACAACTTTTCCAAAGAGTTTGACGTCACAGGAGTTTTGCAGGGTGAATCTCTAAGTCCAATTTTATTTTCACTTTTCATTGCTGATATTGAGGATTTTTGTAGATCCAATGGTGCAATGGGCCTTAATGTTGACAATTTTAATGACATTCTAATGTTGTTATACGCAGATGACTTAGTAATCATTGTTGTTTCCTGATTATATATTATATTGATGTATTCGCTTATTTTCAGGTGACGCTAGGATTAATCAAAATCCTCAACTCACACTGTTACAAATTGTCCTTCTAAGGGAGCACAACAGAATCGCAGACGTACTCCAAAAGTTGAACCCGCATTGGGATGATGAAACCATTTTCCAGGAAGCAAGAAAAATAAATATAGGTCAACATCAGCAAATTTCTTATTACGAATGGCTTCCGATATTTATTGGATTGGAAAATTCTTTAAAAAATAAGATACTGTATCAGACCAGAAATTTTGTAAACGATTACGATGAAACTGTGAATCCAACGGTTCTAAATGAACATGCCACCGCTGCGTTTAGATATTTCCATTCTTTGATAGCAGGGAATTTAGAGTAAGTAAAAAAATATATTGTGTTCCCAACAAATCAATACAATTCTTTAATCTAAAACAAACCTTAGCTTAGTTACTGAGCCGAGGGACAATTTTGGAAGTTTACGACTTAGCGACTGGTTCAATCGCCCCCAAATTTTGGAGGAAGGAGATAACTTTGATGAATTAGCAAGGGGTCTCAATACTCAACCTCAACTGGCATCTGATCCATTTCATGACAGTGAGGTAACTAAAGAGGTATGACATATTACTTTTTTTTAAGCATATGTTTACTTTTCTTCCAGATTACTCAGTTTCTGTTTAGAGCTGGTCAACCATTTGGTACAGACCTTAAAGCCTTCGATATTCAGAGAAATAGAGATCATGGTTTGGCTTCTTATAATGATTATAGAGCTTTCTGTGGATTGCCGAGAGCCAGAAGGTTTCAAGACCTTTTAGATGTCATGACGAAAGAAGTAAGCATTACAATTCAAACAGCTTCATCACTATAGAAAACGTGTATTTCATTTTTCAGAACATTGATAAGCTTGCCAATCTCTATGAAATCGTCGATGATGTAGACTTGACGGTTGGGGGTTCGCTGGAAGCCCATGTCCCAGGAACACTATCCGGACCAACTTTCCTCTGTATTCTCACAGAACAATTTTATAGAACCAGAGTTGGGGACAGATTTTGGTTTGAAAACGGTGCAGTTACTGGTTTTCCCTTAGAGCAGTTAAATGAAATACGGAAAGCTAGTATTTCCCGACTCTTATGTGACAATGGAAAAAATATTAAAGCTATGCAGCCTAGGGGTTTTGAGAGAATATCAGCCAGGTAGGTAATCAAATAATGTAATAGTTCAAATTTCATTCATCTACGCCAATCATCCTCCAGAAGGACCACATGGACATCGAAAAATTAATATACTATTGGATATATTGTTTCAGAAATTCAATTATTCCCTGTGAAAATCTGCCAGTAGTGGATTTGTCGTTATGGAAAGACATCCAAGGAAGAGAAATTATTCAGGATCAGCTAAATTTGCCGCATCAGCTATTTTATAAGAAATAGACGCTGAAAAATGTAAAATAACAAGCAGAGGTATAACTGATATTCGGACATGGTGTTTCAGCTGTAAATGTGCTATATTATTACGTTGGTTCCTTTTAAAGGTATTATCACTTCAAGTTAATTATAAAAATTCCCATAAATTTTCATCAAATAAATTAACTTTAATTAGTTTAATACCTTAGAAAGGAATAAGAGAAAATAATGACGTAATAATAAGTTTATCTTATACAATAAATGTGCTATAATGATAAGGTTAATTGTAATTCTGTATGCACAGCGTTAATACCTATAAATACCATATTCTTTTAATTTTGTTATAGCTATACAGTGTGACAGAATAAATTAATAACAATAATAAACGATACTGAAATTTGATGGAAACTGATATGATATATGGCATTAGAATTTATTCCTCAAGTTAATAGTGGGATTTTATTTGATCATAAATAATAAATAGAAAAAGAAATAGAAAAAAAATGAAATAGAATTAAAAAATGAATAATAAAATACACAGAAAACATCGCTAGAAAAATTCCCATAATTGTTCTTAAAATCCTCACAAGAATAAATTGCACCAAACTTTCATATAACATTGTTTGAAGATTTGAGAAAATCTACTTATTGTTAATAATTTAAATGTCGAATTTTCACACAATTTGTTCTGTTACGATTTTAAAGTAAATTTTCCTGATCATATTGTCGTGAGGCTGCCTTAAGAAGCTGCATACCATTGTTTCACTTTTGTATTTATCTTGTTATTTTTTTAAATAATAATAATAAGTAAATAACAAGTCAATCAGGAATATCATTTAACTAATTACCCTGTACAGTGTAAGCGATAAGGTGTAAGATATGAGCGCAGTATTTTTTATTTTTTAAGATATTTTAGAAGTTTTACCCCAAAATTTGAGAAGCTGCATTAACAATTTTTTATATTTCTTAGAAAAATATTAAACGTATTCACTTTATTAAAGTTAAAACTGTTATTAGATAAATATGGGCCGGTATTAGGTATAAGAACCTGTTCTTGACAAGGAACAGTTGACAATCATCTAAAAATATAAATGATAGACAAGTAAATAAAAGCAACTGTATTTTAATTAATTTTATTCTGTTGGCGACTTTAACAATTTTTTCAATTTTTTGTTATTTTACTGGATTAAGATGATATATACTTGAATAGCAGACAGTCGTGAAAGACTGACATCGCAATTATCTAAGATCGAAATCGAAATAAATCGAAAAATTAAAATCGAACAGCGCTGACAATAATTACATAAATGGCTTTGCTGCGCTTTAATTGATCTCTTTAAATATTTTGAACGAATCATGGTTTCCTAAATTTTAAGGGTGTGGAAATAAAAAGGTTTCGTATTCACACTTGAACGGTGCCTACACGTACAAAAGTCTTCTAAATTAAACAATTTTTAAAATATCTCGAAAAATAAAGAATAATGTGCCACTCTAATGTATATACAGGGTGATTTCAATTTAAATACAGAAACTGCAGGAGTAGATTAGTGCAATAAGTAGAGTTTGCTCTACAAACTTTTTTCCTGGGGAACGTGGTATTCGAGGTACAGGGTGATCTAGTTTCCAAAAAAAATTATATTTTCGGTCATATCTTCATATTTCGCCTAACGATTTAAATGAAATTTATTACAGCGTATTCATGTAATATTAATCTCGTGGCATTAAAGTGAAGTGCTCCGTTTTCCTAAAAAAATACGCCACTGACAGTTTTTTTGTAGAAATAATGTTATATTCAGGTATTACGTTAAATGCATAATGCGCAAATTTAGTCGCAAAATCCATCAGCAAAAATTGAATCTTTTGTCTGTATTATCAGTTAATAAGTTTTACGATGATCTCGTTTCAGTATTATAATTAGCTTTGTTTATTTATTTCTGAAGCTGCAGTCCTTGTTGGGGTTATGAACACGAAACGAATTGTGGCAAAGAATAGAGGAAAATTGTAATCTCCTCAGGGAAAAATCATGTCATGATAAGTTCCTCTATTAATAGATTAGAATATGTCAAAAATGTATCGATGCAAAAGGATTTCGTTTTTAACAATTGTATCTTGGGAATCTTGTAATTGTATCTTGGGAAAAGTTGGCGGACGCTTTAGTAGCACTTCACTGGTTAATACCAGGAAGTTTTCATCAAATAAACGGATTAATTTATAAGGAAAATTCAATAAAACGTAAAAACAAGCCCAAATATCTCCTAAACGGCTGCTACTACTAAAAAACACCAAGAATTTTCATTCAATTCATTATGAAGATACAGCACAAAATATTTTTTTTGTAAACTTCAACACTCTCGAATACCGAGTCCCGCAGAAAAAAAATCTAGGCTTGCAGTTTCTGTATTTAAAGTGAAATCACCCTGTATATGTTACTGTTTATTAATATTTACTTGTGTACCTATATGTATATGACAACGTGTGTCTATTTTTTTATGATTTTAAGTCTTAAGTGCAATGTAAATATTGAGTAATATATTTATAACTAATAACAAATGTTATTCAGATCAACATGTGTTTCATTCAGAAAATGATACATTTGTTCAAATCTGATAATAGAAACAATTAATTAATATCGAAAATAGAATGATGTCAAGATGAGAATTTGGTTCTCACTTTGACATCATTCTATCCACACGTGCTAATGCAATTTTCGACATTAATTGTTTCTCATATCAGATTCGAAGAAATATGTTAATATTTATAAAAAAATCACTTCCCTTCAATGTGTATGAAAATGACATAATGGCTGTTATTTTTTAGGAAGCTCCACAACCGTTACATTTTTATACCCAGTAAATAATTTAAATTAAAAAAATAAAAACTGGAGAATAATTACAAAAATAATATTAAAGAAATGAGCCAAATATCATCAAGTTTAACGTTCATCAAGCAATAATTTCTTTAATTTCTTTTTAAAGTTAATTAATGAAAAACTCGACCGGCAAATTGTTGTATTCCTTAGGTGCAATAAAGAGAAACTCCTAGTGTACAGAGCAGTGGCGTGGCGAGGAATTTCGAGCAAATGGGCATAACGGGAATCAAAATTCGAATTATTTTTGCGAAGTTTGTGTAGTTTATTAAATAAATATGGCGAGGATTCAGTACTTAAGACTTTATGAATATTACACAGTAAGTGTAATTTATGAAGATTCAAATGATTAGAGTTATGAATCAAGTTAGTAATACAACTATTAAATTTTTTTATACCAAAAGGAATCTAAAGCAACAATTCTGAATTCTCTGTAAACGTGTCGAATCAGTCTTTAAAAGTGCGGGTCCGTAGACAGTATCGCAGTATGAGATTTTTGAGATTATTAAAGCATTACAGAGGTTTATTTTTAATTCCGAATTCATTAGGTCTTGCTTAGGGTACATCTGTTTTAAAATACTATAAGATACTTGACATAAATAATTTATATGCTTGGAAAACCTCAAACTTTCATCAAATCACAGACCTAAGCTTTTACATTCATTACTAATTTTTATACTCATTTGCTATTTTAATGTCTAGAGATTCTTTTATTAAATTTCTTTTAATTCTGGGACCAAAAAGGATAATATTAGATTTCTTAGGATCTAATTTTAATTTATGAGCAACTGAAATATTTAGTAAGGAATTTATATTTAGATGATTGCTTCGTTAGCGAACTGTAAGCCTTCAATAAAAAAGTTGAAGTATACTTGAGAATCATCAGCGTAATGATGAATGTTACATATATTTAAAACCTGATTGATGTCTGAGATGTAAATAGAAAATAATAAGGAGTTAAGTATGGAACCTTGAGGTACGCCAAAATTTATTGGTAAGGCGTCTGACACCTTTGAGTCAGAAATTACTTTTTGACTTCGATCATGCAAGAAACTATTGATTAGAGACGCGGATGAATCATCAAATCCATAAAATGTCGATCGGCCACTACCTCCATAATTAGAAGATGTCGTGCTTGTCTACAGTTTGGAGGCGCCCATTTTGAACAAAATATTTTTTAAATCATTTCATTTTTGATTCACTTTTCGCTTTGTCTAGGTATAATATTAATTGGTAATTTTTTGGTTGTTTCAATTTACAAATAAATTTTCATGTATTGTTTACCATCTTATTTTATTTAAATGTACACAACACAAGTAAATGAAGTGACTACAAACCGCCTCAAAAAATTTAGGAGTATTGCAAGGGTCGTTACATTGTCGCATTACGACATAGTCACATTAGATGTTAGGTACTTAAATATTTCTATTGCTTTCATCAACATTATTTTTTTTTCTAAAAAAAACACACTATATCTCAAAAACGAAGCATCTCTTAAATAATTTTAATACTATTGGTTAAATTCAAGGGAAGGGGAGACAAAAAGGCTTATTTGACTCACACATATTCGAGACTGAGACCAATTTTAATAGGTACTATATTTTTTTAGGTTTTATGAGGAACGTCTTCCTAAAGTTTATCGACATAATCCAGAAGCACCCATCCGAAAAATCAATTTTGCCATGAAACTATAAGAGTTAGGAAAAAAGTTAATGTACACTTTTTGTCAATAACAAACTGTTCTATCTAAAAACAGCATCATTTTTTATTTTCAGTAGGGCCGTACTAATTTTTTTTTATAATTTAATGAGTCTGAGTCCCCATAACTCCGCCACTGGTTGCTTGCGGGATTTCTACTTTTATAGAAAAATGGTATCTTATAAGAAGATGTGTCATGCCAAATTTGGCTTAAATAGCCTTCTTCATTTAGATGTTATTTAAAAAATTCGAATTTTTTAAAAAATCTTTAAAGCCCTATATTTCGAAAATGAAGCGTCTCTGGAAAACAAATTATACTTGATTTTTTTCTTATTTTTTTATGAGGAATGTCTCCTTAAAGTTTGTCGACTTAATCCTGAAACACCCTGTATAACTGAACTGTCTCGTGACTGATGTGTATGAATAGACCTTAAAATGGATAATCAGGGACTTAAAGCTTGAAGAACTGAAATTCACAATAAATAATAGTGGAAAATTGGGTTTTGATTCGATAAATTAAGTTCGTCATGCCGATGACAGAAAAATAAAATTTGCAAACACAAGATGTTAAATATATTTTTTTAAATAAACAATATATGATGTTTTTATTAATTTTAGTAAACTTTTCCTCGTTCACGTACCAAATTTTATGTAAATTGGCCTAATAATAATAAAGTTACAGATTTTTGTCAGAGAAATATCCGTTTTTTTCAAGTATGTAGGTACTAAATAAAGAAAAAATATGTATCACGCCTTTCTTTACTGATTAAATGTTACTTTTGAGTGGCTACTAAAACATACACAGTAAATATCTTAAGTGATCAGCAAATAAATTCGTTAAATTGGTAGAAAACACACTTAAAGATATTAGAAAATATAAATACCTACATCGTTGACACAAATTTATTGTAAATCGTTTCCTGGAGATAGAAACATGGCTCTTGCGGCTGCAGCTCTTCCAACGCTTTACGAGTACTATACTGGAGGTGGTGTAGTTTCTGGTTTATCGGATAAACAACCGTATTTTACCTTAAATGATAAAAACATTACTATATATAGTGGAGCTTTCCACTATTTTCGGGTACCAAGGGCAAACTGGAGGGACCGATTGAGAAAAATGCGAAGTGCTGGTCTGAATACTGTCGAAACATACGTTCCATGGAATTTACATGAATACCAGTCTGGTAAGCATTTATAATAACATAAAAATTTTTGAATAAATATTTTCCCATGATAAAAAAAGGAAGAATAGGTAGTGTTTACAAATTAAGATAAAGCATTTTAATCTAAATTTTCATTTGCAGTTTATCTCAATCTTACTTTATCTAAAAAATACCTAATTGTTTTGAAAGCTATATGCAATTAAATATTTCTTATACAGCATGATGATAAAGTTTGGAACAAAATACATAACTTTAAAAAAAAACGCCGAGACAGGTCGATTTTGTTCTCAGCAGGGGCATCTTTTAAGGTGATTCAGTTGTATACAGGATGACCCAGAAAAGCTGGACGGCCAATAACTTGTTTTTTCTTATGAAACACTATATTTTTTCATATTTGGATAAAGCTTGCTCTTACCAATACAGTGATGTAAGGTTTGATGGGTCTATCTCAAATAACAAGCGAGATATTGCGAGAAAATGACATTCATTTCAAAAAAATATTTATTTATTTTTATTTTTCATAAAAGATTACTTGGAAACGAAACAAATGTAAATAATTAACGAAAAAAAAATCGAAAAAAGTTTGCAGGTTTAGCAATAAAAATTAGGTTTTTTTTGTTGGCACCCAAGTCACTGATAAAAATGATTAAATTTCGGTTTTTGGTCGTTGCTTAGAAACAAAAACACCACTGTTGCAGCGTGACATTTTCACAAAGTAATACTTTATTATAACCTTAATAAATTTCGCAAATTTATCACTGAATTTTTTTGAACTTAGCACATTTTACTGAACGTGAAAGGATAGAGATCTTAATGATGGTTGGATATGGTGATAAACTACGAACCCATGCGGAAGCATGTGAGCTGTTTAATCAAACACATGCTGACAGACCACCAATTGCACGATCAACGGTCGCCAAGTTTACGGAGACTGGGTGTGCAAGAGATAGGACAGGACAAGGTCGACCTCAAATCGCTGAAGAATCCAAGTTAAATGTATTGCTGGAAATGGAGGAAAATTCCCATCAGTTAACAAGTCAACTAGCCCTAAACAACAATGTGCGCCAATCATATGTTGTAAACTCGCTTCATTCAGAATTAAATGAGAATAACCCAGACCGCCGGTTGCTTGATGAAAATCCAAACTTTCTAAGCAACATAATTTTTTCTGACGAGACCACATTCTGTTTAAATGACTCAGTACATCGCCATAATTTTAGATATTGATCAAATGATAATCCCCATTGGGCGCAAGAATTCCACAGTCAGCGTAAAGGCAAGTTAAGTGTATGGGTGGGATTTTTATGAATGCGATTTATAGATCCTTAGTTTTTTGAAGAAAACCTCAGTGCTGCTAGACATTTAGATTTTCTGCGTTTTGAGTTGGTGCCGGCTGTAGCAGTTCTTTTCCCCAACGCTGGAGATAGCTACATACCTCATGAAAATATTTGGTTTCAACAAGATCGAGCTCTACCTTACTTTGGCTTAGAAATTCGGCAATATCTTGATGATACATTTCCTGAAAGATGGTTAGGGCGGAGAGGATCTCTTGAGTGCCCCCCGCGTTCCCCCGACTTGACTCCTCTGGATTTTTTCTATGGGGTTATTTAATATCTAGGGTATACTTCAATCGACCAAACAATTTAGAAGCCTTACAACTGAAAATTCGTACTGAAATGGAAAGAATCATTGTATTCGTAAGAGAAATCTTTATCCGAATATGAAAAAATATACAGGACGTTCCATAAGAAGAAACAAATTTATTGGCCGTCCAGCTTCGCTGGGCCACCCTCCCGAGAACAAAATTGAGCTGTCTCGGCGTTTTTCTTAAAATCACTCAGTATAAAAGTTATGAATTTTGTTCCAAACTTTATTCATCACGTATATACAGTGTGTTTTCTAAGTATTCTAAAATATTTTAGAGGGTGATTTATATTAACATGTGCACACCAGAGGCGTGCGTGTGGGCAATTATTGAAAAAAATAATTTACACGCCACTGCATATTTTTTGTTATCTTTGTTCAATTCTCCATACAAAATGTTTTTTTTGGTATATTTTCATTTGATGTCCTGTTCTGGAAAATGAAATGAAAAAATACACATACATCTTTTGCTATGTAATCAACGCCAGTTACAAAATATACTCACAAAATTAATATCAGTGGCGTACACATTATTATTAAAAATAATTGGATACTACGTCCCTGCTGAAGCGATTAAGTTTAGAGCTTAAACTTTATACTAAAACATGCCCTCTAAAAAAAGTAAACAATACACCTCTACGCTATATTTTGGAAAGGAAACATTTTTGGACCTACGTGAACATTGAGATACTCAATTTATTCCATTTGGCTGTTCCACACTGTATACACTTGCTATATACTTGCCTTTAAAAGTTGATAGTAGATATTTTATAAGGCGATCCAATCATATACATGATTCTTTTGTAATTGGTAAAAAGCATTTTTTTCATATCTGCCATTATAGGGTTTCTGATTTCTCGGCCTACTTTTTTTCTCGGGACTCGAGAATTCTCGACTAGGAATTCCCGGGAATTCTCGAATTCTCGAGAAATTTCTAAAACTTAAAAAAGTCATAATTTTGGTATTGCAATGTGAAATATAAACATGCTATTATACTTAACAATCATCATTAACATTTATTATTTATTCAGTATTTTTATTAATTACTTATGTTTCTACTTCTACTAACAAAACTAAATTAAACTTTGAGTATCTTCCTCTTGAAAACTTATGTTTATTTCAATGTTTTTGAATCGTAGCTTTCTTCCAATAATTATTAATAATCATTAATCATGCAGTCTTTTAAGTAAACAAACAGTATATAAGGAATTTAACCGAAGAAATCTTAAAAAAAAACAAGCTTTAATTTAAAGATACAGAATCGTTCTTCTTATTAATTTATCACTTATAATCACAATCACATTAGCAAAACAAAAATAAAATAATCAACTAAATAAAGGAACAGGAACTAAATATTTTCAGAATCAACATCAACATTAGGTATCTGCTTATAATAAAATTTCTACACAGACTTATAACAAGGTACATTAAAAAAGTAAGAATCATCAAAGTAAACTAAAGCCTTGAAAACTTTGGAAACGAATTGAACGCATGAACGAAACGAACTCTAATCAAGAACTTAAGACGCGCCTGATTTTTAAATTTCTCGATTTCTCGATTTCTCGACACTTTTTTCTCGTCTCGAGTAAGGCCAGAGTTCCCGGGAATTCTCGCTTCGAGAAACCCTATCTGCCAAACACTGTTATATTCAAGTTAAATTTGGTATGTATATAAACATGAAAAATATTGTAATCGAAGCAACTTCATCTTTATAAAGTAATATTTTTCTAAACAAAACTGCCAATATTGTCTTAAGGACAGGGCATACAACTTTACTTATTGTTTTGTTGTAAAGACATAAACATTGTTCATGTTCTTTCTCCTGTTCATAACATGTTTTAAGTAAAACTTGGCATATAAAATATTAACTATTATTATATGATACATTATATAAAATTGAACAATCGTACCAAACCTTCTCGAATTGGTTTTTGTTTATCCTTTAAAAATATTTTAAAATATCTCTCTAAACTCAAAAACATTTCGCAATAAACAATATATCGCTACACTTTCGAACATATTAATTTAATAAATGAATTAAATTTGAACAAATGAACGAAAATTATCCGTAATTCAAAAAGACCCGAAGTCCCCCGATTACTTTGCAGGATTGTGTCCTACCAACAAAGTTTCAGTTGTAGAAGAAATCAATCTAGGCGATCTAGGATTTGATCTTTATCTTAAGTTTCAAGGTAAATCCAAGGTCGACTTGAAAATATTGAACTGAATGTCCTATTTCTTATGCCAGCAATGAATAAAGCGCCAAATACAGGGTCAGAAAATTTTTATTGTGTGTCCTTACAAGATATTTGGAGGTTAAAATCATTACTTTTTGAATAACTAGACAAAAATGTTTCAAATAAAATTTATAGGATGTTTAAAAACAAATTAGATTATAAATTACAAATTACCTTAACAATGTGTTAAATTTATAAAAATATTTATATCTATTATTTGTTGTGAAATGAGTTTGACCTTCAAAGAAGTTGCAAGGACATCCTGGAAATTTTTTTTGATCCCAGATGTCGAGATAAAATTTGGCGTTGTTTGTCATTCAAAATCCTAAAAATTTCACCTCCAAATGACCTGCACGGACATACAGGAAAAAGTTTCTGACTCCATATTGGGAAGTAAAATTTGGAGCTCTATTAATTGATGGAATAAATACGTATTGTTTCAATATTTTCAAGTTGACTTCTCTTTGACCTTGAAACTTAATATCAAGATCAAATCCAAAGTTTCTTGATACGGTGCAACTTTTATCTGAAACTTTTTTGGTAGGCTTCAATTCTGAAAGTTATCGTGAGGTTCAAGTCTTTTTGGATGTAAATTTATGTTAAGCGTACATATTTTTTTAGGTGTTTATGATTTTGGAAACGGCGGATCAGAAATGGAAGACTTTCTTCACCTTGAAGAATTTCTGAAAACCGCTCAAGAAGAAGACCTCTTTGCGCTCGTTCGTCCTGGCCCATACATTTGTGCCGAATGGGAGTTTGGCGGACTGCCCAGTTGGATTTTGAGAAATACTAGTTCCGTAAGAAATTCTAAAGACGAAAATTATCTCTCCATCGTCAAACGATACTTCAACGCCCTCTTTGCCATCTTAACACTTCTGCAATTCCAAAAAGGTGGTCCGATAATTGGTTTTCAAATTGAAAATGAATACGGCAATACTGGAAATGACGACACCGATTATCTCCTTCAGCTCAAACAAATGTATTTGGATAACGGCATTGTGGAACTTTTATATACTTCCGATCCACCGGGTGTTAATGGTCGTGGGGGTATACCGGACATTTTGCAGACTGCTAACTTTAATACTAATCCTAAAAGTCAACTAGACAAATTGAATACGCTGCAGACGAATAAACCTACTATGACTATGGAATATTGGACGGGTTGGTTTGACCATTGGCTGGAAGATCACCACACAGTGAGCACCGAGACTTTCAAGGAGCGATTCGAAGAAATTCTTGATTATCCTTCATCTGTAAATATGTATATGTTCGTTGGTAAGTACGTTTATTTGTACAAAGTTTAACAGTTTTATCTATATGTTAAAAATTACTTTTGAGTATTTCGTGAGGATTTTCGTCTGACCATACTTGAGAGTTCCGAGTATTAGTTACTCCGTCATGGGTGAATGTTGCTTCATTCGTAAAAAGTATGCGGGATATAACAAGATGATTATTATTGATCTATTGACAAAACTCGATACGCTTAGCATAATTTTTCGGTTGTAGATGTTGTACTCTTTGTACATGGTACGAATACAAGCCTTGCTCGTGAAGGGTTTTTATTACTCTTTTTTGTGAGCTGATAGTTGTTTCATCTTCTACTAGACCCATAATATTTTCTACTTCTTCTAAACCTACTTGATGAGCTCGTTCAGATGTTATACTAGTACTGGGAAGCTTTCCGGTTTCGCGAAATTTGTTAAAAACTCTGAAAAATACATTTTTATCAAGACATTTGTGATGTGGAAACCGCTGATGATATTCTTCAACAGCAGCGTTAGCATTCCCATCACAAAAACCGTAAACAAACACCACTTCGATCGTACAAACTGTTAAACTATTACAACATAAAATGACACTGACAAATATTCTATTTTTGAACTTGGAACATGATATACTCTTATTTTAAATTTTTTAAATTTTTACGCTATACCTTGAAAACAAATGAAAATCGCATAAAAACATTTCAGTTTCTTCTTATTTTTTTTGATATATAGAATCAATTTCTGTAGTTTGGCGCGATTCTATTCAATTTATATCTACATAGACACATTCAGATAAGTATCCACATTTCTTTAAGTTAAATGGTCATTGTTTATTCAGTATAATTTTTTTTTTATTTTTATTTTTTTACTTATCTAGTTTCAGTTATTATGGCATCTTCAGGAAAGCATCAGAAAAATGGCAATCGTTGGAAAAGAAATTGCCTCATACAGTATTAATAAGTAACATAATCATAAGTTCAAATATAAAAATATCAGTAAATTTAAAAAAGCTTTTAAGTCATCTTTAACAGATTAAGGATAAATAATAAACTTATTGTCAACCTGACAAACGTACATATACAGGGTGTGTTGGTTTTTGCTGTGTAAAATTTTGAAAATTTGCAATTTTTTTTTGATCTGGATTGCAAAATTATTATGCAAAATCTATCGAACCGATTTTGATGAAATTAGGTGTGATGATTCTACATAATATGAAGTTTTCTTGAGCCAAGTATAAAGGTCCTACACCCAATTTAAATACACCAAAAAAATTCCCTAAAAAGTATTGTTTTTTAACCCCATTTTTGTGATTTTTTCGATTTTTACCATAATAATCATGATTCATTCGATTTGTAACCAGTCATGTATTGTAAAAAATTTAATTACAAACATTTTTTTACTCTTCCATTTTCGCCTAAAATCAACTCTTAAAAAGATACATAATTAAATAGGAAGAAAAATATGACATTTTTCCAATTTTTTTAACATATTGTGCCGCCAAAAGTTAAGCCCACGTTTTTTTTATGCGCATAGAAAAATTTTCATTTCTAGTGATATTTGAAAGCCAAAAAGCCAAAAATCTCCGTGGATATACGATTCACCCAAATATGGCTTTTTGAAACAGATACCGTCTGGACTAAGAGTAATTTATGCCAAAACGAACTGCGAAAACTGCAGGTTTCTAACTCTTACAGTTTAGATGCCATTTAGCCTCATTTAGAGAGTTGAAATTATGATTTTTTTTAAAACAACTGAATATCTCGAACACGGTAAGTTTTAAACATCATGCACTTAATAAAGTAAAGAATAAACTCCACCTAATATTAACCAAGGAATTCAAAAATGCAATAATATACAGACTGTTCAATTCAAAAAACAATGTAGCACCCAACTTCTATTAAAACCATTTTCTAATAAATTTTACAGTTGCAGAGTTACTGAAGAATCCCTCTTAGATGGAACACCCTGTATTCTATGCGTATTACCATTTGATAAAATATAAATTTATTTTCTTCTGCGGCCTTCAGTTTATTCCAAATTTTGACCTCACAAACACAAATATCTACCGTTTAGTTTTTGCTGATGAGCTGATAAAAAAATTGAATCATCCTGTTTAACTTTTATTTATAGCAAAAATTGATAATACTGTTTTCCGAATGTTAGATATCAATATCAAGGGACTTAACTAGAGTTATATAAATAATTATAGTGGGCATACATTTATTGATAATTTAGATAATGTAAATAACAAAACACTTATCCGAATATACTTGTAGATCAACTATAGTAACGAATATATAAAATATAAAGTAGGTACCTTCATAAATCTTTTTAACTTAAGTTTGTTTAAGAATGTTATTTTTTATCATTAATAGTAATCTAAGGATTACTTAGAACACTTATACATAACCTGATATTGTACAGCATCTAAAATACTATTAATGTTGCAGGTAGCACAAATTTCGGTTTTCTGAATGGTGCCAATAGTCTGCATTCCGGAGACGATAATTCCGGGTTGCAACCCACGACTAGCAGTTACGACTATGATGCTCCATTGACAGAATATGGTGATTACTCTCCAAAATACACGGTGGTAAAGGAAGCCATAGCTGCACGAAATCCAGTTCAAACTAAAATACCAGATCCTCCACAAAGCACTCCACCCAAAGCTTATGAGACGCTTGCTGTTGAGAAAGAACTATATCTCTCAACGGTCATTAAAAATGTCAAAGAAACGTTCACAAGTGAGGACGTAATTCCTATGGAGCTCCTACCGATGAACAACAACTCAGGGCAAAGTTTCGGTTACATAGTCTATCGTAAATCCAACATAGATATTCCTGGAAACGCCGTATTAAAAATTTCTGGCTACGTTAGAGACACAGTGTTAGTTCTGATAAATGGAAATTTAATCAATAGTGCTCCCAAATCGTCAGAGGATATAGGAGGCTTTGGTTTTTGGAAACTGAAAGATTCCACTTTAACTCTCACCGACACTGAAATTAAGGCAGCTACATTAGATATAGTTGTAGAAAACTTTGGCCGGAATAATTACGGGGGATTGAGTCAGTTCCGCCAATTTAAAGGTTTAACTGAACCTGTGTACATTAACGATAACAAAATAACTGACTGGGAATTAATACCGCTTGAGTTCAAGAAACAGGATAATCTTAACTTATTGGGTTGGCAGCTTAAAACAGATGATGGAAGAACTCCCGCATTGTACAAATCTACTCTAACCATCGAAGATGATCCTCAAGACACTTTTATAGACATGAGAGATTGGTACAAAGGAATAGTAATTGTTAATGGTTTTGTGATTGGCAGACATTTCTATTTGGGCCCACAGCAGTCTCTGTATATACCGGCACCATTTTTAGTTAAAGGAAAAAACGATATCGTGATATTTGAACACTTCACTGCGCCGGATTCTATCAAGTTTTCTGATTCGCCTATTTTTGGAAAACCGTCACATTAACAGTGATATTTTAGTTACAATACGAAGACAAATAACAAATTTAGATATGAATATACGATTATGATACAGCAGTAAATAAAATATTTAATTAACAGATACTCATTGCATTATTGTTATCGTGAGTGCTATTTTTATTATAAATATGTTTTCTATTTGGCAAACTCTTCACATTGCGATTATAACCAAATTCCTATCTCGTTGTTTTACATATCAAATTTTAAGTGAGATCAATTGTTATTTATTTCTCAGTGTAGGGTATTGCATTTGACAAAACTATGTCAATGAAAACAGCATTTGAGAGATTCTTTTAGAGTAAAATGTTCTTTAGGAAATTTTGGTGATATTATTATTTTTCATTTTGTCTAACAAAAAACACATTTAAATTACGAAAGACTGAAATGTCATATTGTATAGGTAAATTGAAGTTTCCAAAAAATTGATCTTAAGATTGCCCTCCATGACATGTCAAAAGCGATTAGAGGTACCTACATTGCATAGTGAAATCATATCTGCGTTGAGTATTACTTATTGTCTGCTCAGGAGGACATCTTTACAGTGAAATAGTATTCATTGATTCAGTAGATGTAATTTGCTTTTATTTATAATTGGAAGATGAAAAACACTATTTGGTTGATGTTTATCAAATACTGCTCACACTATCATACATATCTTTATTGTAAAGGTTACTGTCTCGTGACTCAGGTGTATGAAAAAGACGAGTGCAAGCCAAAGAAATGAAAATAGAGGCATGGAAATAAGAAAAATTTGCACGCCATTATTCTATGACTAGAAGTTGGCTTCAATGATTTGGGGTCGAGGGAGATTATCCCTCTTTATCCTGCCTCATTGCGTGTAGGCCTGGACAGCCTTCGTAGGTAGGCCCCATCCGTCGTCTACCCCGACCACAAATGCAGCCGGTGTAGGCGCTTTGTGGCACCTCTTTTTGTCCTGTCTGGGCCTCGCTGGTTAGTGCCCTTTCTTCTGGCGCTCTTCTTGCTTCGCCGGCTCATCTGTGTAAATCCCCAGGGGTGGTGTCGTGTTTATGTGTGGTATGGTTGGGTAGGGTAGTGCGGCTATGCAGTATGGGATGCGCTTTACTAAGGTGGCCCTTAGGCTAGCGCGGGAGGGAAAGAGGTAAGGAGGGTATAGTGTGTGTGTTTAAGTTTTTTATATCATTGGGGAGGGTGCCCCGGGAGTTCATCAGTCGGGGGACGATAGTCTCCGTCGTAGTCTGAGTCAGGGCGTTTTTAATGTCAGTCTCAAGGGAGAGAATTGCCGCCTCCATATTATGGGTGGCTTCGATGACTGGGAGCGAGGTATTTCCTTGCATTACTGCTCGGAAGCGCTCCTAATATAAGGAACGGATTGAAGATGGAACAAAAATTTGTTCAATAAATATTTCAGAATATCTTGCTTTAATATTGTATTGCGTAAACTGTCACCATTTTTTAGAAAAGCAAGACTCACAGTGGAGAAAATCTATGTCCGATATATCCGTCAAAATGTAAAATATCGTCGATGGGAATTCCAAAACCCTGTTGGGTTTGGAGACGGAAGAACGACTGACGGTTCAGATTGGACTTGATGAATGCATGTAGCCTTTATAACGCCGCATAACTAGTAATTTGGTTGGAACAGTAATTTTATTCAACCAATCAGCGAACGCATTATCTCGAGCGTAGATGTAACGGTTTGCTATTGCTCACTGTAAACGATTAATTAAGATTTAGGGATTTTTAGTTGACAGTATCAGCCGTGCAATGTTAATTACCTAAGCTCATCGGGCACGTGGCTTGTGATTATTTATGAAGGCTTTGTAGATAGCGCTATTTAAATAAATAGGAAGAATATAACTGAACCGTCCCGTTTATTAATCTTTTGCCCATTCGCGTACCAAATTTTATGTAAATCGGTCTACCAATAGCGAGGTTACAGATTTTTGGAAGAGAAACTTTATTTTTTTCAAGTATGTACTAAATAAAAAAAAATATATGTATCACGCTTCTTTACTGAATAAATTTTGCTTTTGAGTGACTACTAAAACATACACAGTAAATATCTTAAATGATCAGTAAATAAACAGGTTAGATTGGTAGAAAATATACTTAAAGATATTAGAAAATATCAGTACCTACATTGGTGATACAACTAAATATATTGCAAATCGTTTCCTTTAGCAAAAACATGGCTCTCGCGGCTGCAGCTCTGCCAACGCTTTACGAGTACTATACTGGAGACGGTGTAGTTTCTGGTTTATCGGATAAACAACCGTATTTTACCTTAAATGAGAAAAACATTACTATATGCTTTCCACTATTTCCGGGTACCAAGGGCAAACTGGAGGGACCGATCCAGAAAAATGCGAAGTGCTGGACTAAATACTGTCGAGACATACGTTCCATGGAATTTACATGAATACCAGTCTGGTAAGCATTTATTATATCATAAAAATATAAACGGATACTAAAGGACAATACTTTTTTTTTAAATAATTTTGTTAAATTCTGTCTGTCAGGAGTAAATATTTCCCCATATTACAATAGTATAGGATATATTAAAAAAGAGGAAGAAGACGTAGTGTTTACAAATAAAGAGAAAGTATTTTGGTGTAAATTTCGATTTGCATTTTACCACAAACTTCGCCTAAATATCTACTTGTTTTGAAAGATTTGTAAGTAAATATTTCTTATAAGTTTTCTATGTAATCTATTTTAGAAGCTAATTCTTCAAACGATTTTACGAGAAGGATTTTATTAACATTTGTCCAAAAACCAAGGGCGTGCGTTTAGGCAATTATTTAAAAAAATGCCGGTTGGTTAATTTTTATATTTCAATAGAGATAAGTTAGCTTATCAGTTGCATATTATTGACCTGTATGAGATCGAAAGGTATCTGTCTTTCAAAATTGTGTCGTAGTAGGTTTAAAATATTCAAATGATGACGTTTATGCAATTATTTAAATGATGACGTTCAGTGGAATGCAAGCAAGGGATAGATCACTTAAAACGCACAAAATAGGGTAAATTGTCCTATAAGGATAGGTATACATGATTTATTTGTAATTGATAAAAGGTATAATTTCTTTTACATCTATCAAACACTGCTCAATTTAAGTCAAATTTGGTTTGTTAATACTTACGTAAAATATTGATATTGTAATGAAGAAATTTCATGTTCATAAATGTGAAAAATAACTTCTTTCCTAAACTAAAATGTTAATATTTTATTGAGAATTGGGCATACAAATATAATAATTATTGTTGGCCATAAAGACAAAACTTTTTTTCATATTCTTTCTAATTTTCATTATGTATGTTTTAAGTAAAAATCGGAGGTCCAGGTAAAATTTGGCCCTGAATCGATTGCTGGCATAAAAAATAGCGTTTTCCGTCATTCAAAATCCTAAAAATGTTTGTTAATCGGAGTTATTCAAAGAAAAATCAGTTTGACCTATAAACGACCTGCAAGGTCATACTAAAAAAATGTCTGACTCCATCTGGGAAGTAAAATTTGACGCTCTATTAATTGCTGGCATAAAAATATGGCTTTTCAATTAATATTTTCAAGTTGACTTTTCTTTGACCTCGAGACTCAATATTGTAACGAAATTGTTATTAATTTCGTTTCATTTATTTTATTCACACTGTATAACGTCACTTTTAATATAACACCTATGTTTACTCCATAATTACTCCTAATTATCCTGTTTACTCCATAATTACTCCTAATTATCCCGCACTAACATGGTGAACTACCCTTATGGAAATAGTTCCGTATCTAACGTAGATGGTGCGGTACCGGAATTGTAAAAGACATGACGGCCTACACGCTCGTTCTCTTTGAAGATTGTCGTCGAAACGAACAGATCGTATTTTGCGAGACCCATCTATTCTTTTTATCGTGGAAGAATACCGAAATTTTTCAATCTGGTATGTAAATGTGGTTTCTTTCTTTTTTAATTAACTGTTTTGTATTTGCCTCGCTTTTGTATTAATATCCCCAAAGAAAATAATCCAGGGGTGTTAAGTCGGGGGATCTTGGCGGCCATTCAACTGTACCCCGTCTACCAATCCAGCTATTTATAAACATTTCATCTAAGTATCTTCGAGCATCAATACCAAAATGTGGGGGGAGCGCCATCTTGTTGGAACTAAATTCTTTCATTCGGTATATCTGGATCAATTTCATGAGGGAAAATCACAGCTAGAGCAGGTATCAGGTCAAATGTTAGGAAATCCAGGTAGCGTGCGGCAGTAAGATTTTCTTCAAAAAGGAATGGGCCCAAGATTCTGTTGTTGATGATACCTGCCCATACATTAACTTTTTGTGGATGCTGCGTATGCGATTCGCATGTTCAGTGTGGATTTTTCTGGGACCAAAAGCGATAGTTGTGCCTGTTAACCACTCCATTTAAATAAAACGTAGCTTCATCCGAAAAAAGTACGTCTCGTTGAAAACCATTATTGTCGTCACACCGTCTTATCATTTCCTCACAAAATTGTAATTGCCTATCAAAATCGTCTTCCAAAAGCTCTTGGACAAGACATACCTTATAGGAGTGGTATTTCTCTTGTTTCAGAAACATTCGAATTGCAGTTCGAGAAGCATCGTGATTGCGGGCCAATGAAACAGTTGAAGTATGAGGATTTTCAACAAGTTCTAATGCAATATCTAATTTCATTTCTTCATTCAAAGCACGTGTCCGTTCAGTTTTGGGCAAAGTCTGTACTGTACCGTGTTCCTCAAATTTGTGAAATATTTTACTAACTGTCCCTTGCGAGACTTGGTTTTCGGGATATTTCGCATTAAATAAGTCGCGCACTTCAGCCTGACTTCTTATTTTGTCTTCACATCCAAGCATATCAAGATTTCGATGCGTTGTCTTTCCGATAATACCATTGCAATTTAGTAAATAACATGATTTTGACACAATAGTAAAGTTTCGAACTCCAATTTAAAACTAAAGTGAACAATTAACCAGAAAGCCTGGCAAGTAAGTGGTGCCAAAAAACGCAACATAAAAAATATATCTTTTTTGCGTTAGCTGTTATAGGTACAAATTCTTTATTTTATTCTGTGTAAATTCATGGAGGATAACAATGAAGATAATTAAATTTTATTTCACTTGTTAAGTAGGTGTTTTATACAACTTTAAAAACCTTGCTATTGAAAAAATAAAACTTGTTTATTTGGTATGGCTGGATTCAGTTTTCTATAAGCTTTTCAACGAGCCCCCTCATGCCTTATGTTTCCATTTGAAAAAAAAGTAGGGGTAGCTGGGGGTTAGGGGAATGAAGAAAAATTAATTATTATATAACCGAAAGATGGGAAAAAATCAAAACCAGTTAACGTGTTTCGGCGTTTAAAAAAAAAATTGACTCATTCAAAATTTTATTCCGTACTTCTGGCCATCCCTGTATATTTTTAAATCGCCGCTCAAACTTTATCAAATAACATTATCAGATCGTCTCCATGGTAACATGTGTCGAAATTGCTTTTTTTTATCAATTCTGGAAGATATTTTTTTTCTGCGTTCAGCTACATAAGGAAGTCTATAGTTTCATTAGAAATATTGCTAGAAAAACAGCAAAAAAGATGAACCCTACTTTGATTAGCTTTATTCTGAAAAATGATAGCCAGTTGCGGAAACAACTGAATTCGTTTCTAAATAACGGTTTGTCAAAATAATTGACATTTTGTACCTACTCATTATATCTATAACTAATAATTATAACATGAATACTTACAGTAACCAAGAAAAACTAGATATGATTTTAATTTATGGAGAAGGCTGAAAGAACGCTAAAGCTGCCAGGTATTTATAGATGCCAACATCGTTTCCCGCGGGGCCAACTTCCATAAGAAAAAATTTTCGAAATTTGGCGGCAGATGGAAGAAGGGCAAGAGATGAAGAACATTCGATAAAGATGTTAAATGGCCTACTAGACCTCCGGATCTCACCCCTATAGATTTCTTTCTTTGACCTTACCTAAATGATATTTATCTTAAAAACAGAATAAGAGTAGAATGTCGGAGATTAAATGAAGAAACAGTAGAATGTGTTTGTAGAGAGGGAGTGATAAACAGTGCTATTCTATGTTTGGAAGCAAATGGAGGTCATTTTGAACATTTGACATAAGCATTGTTATAAATTGATATATTATTATCGTATTAAAAATAAAATATTGTTACTTAAAAAATCATAATAATTTGTTTCCACAGCTGGTTATCGTTTTTCAGAATAAAGTTACGAAAAGTAGGGTTCACAATAGGCCTATTTAGGCCTATTGTTAGTATTAGTTTAGGCCTATTTAGGGTAAGGAAGAAGGGTAAGGGTACACAATAAATTGTAGTTTATTTCTAGCAAAAACAAAATTTATCCCGGTATTTAGCATGTTTATACCAAAATTCAATATGTATACAATATTTACTGTTTTACATATTCTGAAGCTAAATTGTAATATACATATAAAAAAATATAGGTAAGATAATATCTACGATGGAGTTGAATAACGGCCTACGAAGAGCACTATTTCATTATATTTGATAAAGTACAGGAAAGGGTGATCAGCTTTAAACTTATAATCAGGCGGTGGTGGTAGAGATTCTGGGACCGCAATAACTACAAAAAAAATATTTTTAAATTAAATTTTAAGTAGGTATCTTATAGTTAGATTACGAAAAAAAATGGATACACGAGTTCAATTAGAAACCTGCATGTATTTTTAAAACTTATATATTACTTTTATAAAGCAATCCACGTTTTAGGTTTTTATTATTGATTTAAGGTCTATTTTGTCTTTTTTTCTTGTATTTTATTTTAATTGTAAATGTTATCTCTGTTAACAGTACACTTTTATTGAATTCTTTTTCTTTTTCTGGACGTGTGCAAACACATTTTTTGTATTTAGCAAGAATTTAAAATAAATAAAAAAAATAATTAATTATCAACAATTAAAGATGTGTCATTCTTCTATACCAATCCATTATAAGTACCTAATCGAAAAGTTATAAGACACAAACGTTTTAAGGTTTCCTAAAATCTATTACAATAAAGAAAAGTTAAGTATACAGGACCAGTAAAAAAGTCATGACAAAACAAAGATGATTTTTCCTTAAAGGAACACCCCGTATATTATTACATATTTCATTTCTTCTCGAAATTCTAAACAAAATTCATATACCAGCATCGAAAACAGATATGTAATATGTAATATCTGCTCATGCAGAAATTATGAAAATGATTACAATGACGTTCATTATATATTATTATATCATTACAATGATATACCGATGACGTATTCTCGCCTATGTAATGCCATTGGACAACTCAAGGTCAGTGTTAGTAGGCAACCTATTTCTTTAGCGAGCTTGGGGTTTTGCCTCGATGCTTTGTATTCATAGTGATACGAAATTATATTATTCATAATTTTATTAATCACGAGCTAGATGATATAGGTATCGATCACTATCCACCAATTTTGTTATAAGATTTTAATTTGTCATGCAAGAATCTAAACGCATAGCATTCGAAGAATGAGTTCTTTAGGGCAACTGAATATTAAGGGTTGTTAGCTATGTCTGTTGCTTTTTATGTCATTTTAAATAAAATATGACAATGGTTTTAACTAAACTTAGTTCATATAAAAGGAGAGAAAGTCAGAATAAATACTACTAAAATTTAAAAAGGATATATTTTTAAAAACCTTGAGAATATGTAGTCTGTATCATTATAAAAAGTATATACTGAATTTTGATTTGGAAGACACAATATTTCTAATAAGAACTAAATGCAACTGAGTACTTATACATATATTTTAAAACAACATTTGGCAAGTACACAAGTACTTTTTACTTATTGTGAAGATACATTATCATATAAAAAATGCACATATTAAAGCTAATAAAATTTAAGATGGAGTAGCATAACGGCCTACAAAAAGCACTATTCCATTATATTTGATAAAGTACAGGAAGGGGTGATCAGCTTTAAAACTATATTTAGGTGGTGGTGGTAGAGAAGATGGGACACCATGAACTAAAAAAAATATAGTGATTACTTAGGATATCCCAAATTTTGATTAGTAGCAGAAAAGTACATAAGAATGAATGTGTGAAGGAAAGGTTCAATATATGTAAATATTTACAGCTTGTACAAATTTATTTTATTTGGTTATTTTCATGTGTTGGCGATAAGCTATATTGTCTGTGCTGATACACCATCATATTAAAAGTTGCAGCATTAAGCCGGGTCCAGACGCTAGGTTTTTACAATGTTTTAGCTGCGCATTCACAAAACGGAATGAAAACGTTGCAAATCAAGAGCGTCCACAAGGTGCAGATGTCTATATATTTACTCAGAAAGAAAAAAATAAATATTTTTTATAACTGTTTCTCTATTTGCTATAGCTTGAACCTCTCTAAATTTTTCGATTAAAATTTCGTATGTCTGGCTCATTCGAAGAATGAGTTCTTTAGGTATAGGAATTAGGTGAATATAGATTATAAAGGGTTGTTGCTTTTTATGTCATTTTAAATAAAGTATGACAATGTCTCTATCTAAACTAAAAAGAGGGAACATCAAAATAAATACTACTGAAATTTAAAAAGCATATATTTTTAAGAAGTAAAGTATATACTGAATTTTGATCTGAAAGACACATTTCTAATAAGAACTAAATGCAACTGAGTCCTTATTATACATTTTAAAACAACATTTGGAAGTACATAAATATTTACTTTTTTACTTATTGTGAAGGGATATTATGATATAAAAAGTATTCATATAAAAGTCAATGAAATTTAGGATGGAGTTGCATAGCGGCCTACAAAAAGCACTATTTCATTATATTTGATAAAGTACAGGAAGGGGTGATCAGCTTTAAAACTATATTTAGGTGTTGGTAGAGCAGAATGGTAGACAGGATGAACTAAAAAAAAATATAGTGATTACTTAGGATATCCCAAATTTTGGTTAGTAGCAAAAAAGTACATAAGAATAAATGTGTGAAGGAAAGGTTCAATATATGTATGTAAATATTTACAGCTTGAACAAATTAATTTTCTTTTGTTATTTTCAAGTGTACGTTGTATATCTTTTATGTAGTCATATTTTTCTGCGTTGTGTTTCATGACGTTTTTGTTTTCAGTTGGTATAAGAACGATAGTACTAACTGTTATAACATTTTAAATTAATACTTTCTTATAATTATTTTCCAAATATAACAAATACTTTAAACGTAATTTTCTTTAATACGGTGCATTTGAGCGACATGTATGTAAATTTAAGTTGGCTTAAATCACTTTATTTTCGTCCAAGGAAACACTTTGTATATTTTAAATATACGGTGTATCAAAAATTTCTTAAATAATCGGAACCGACAAATTCAATTTGACAGCTATAAGAAATACCATTTATTTACAATTATATCGTTGTGTCATTTCACAAATTTAATGATGAAATTTGATCTAAGGAGGCACAATAAAAGTGCTTTTATTTTAAAAAAACACAAATTTTCACTTCGTATTTAGCATTTTGAAATAAATTTCAATACATTTACTGTATTATTTATTCTAAAACTAAACTGGTACCTAATACATAAAAAATATAGATGAACTGAACTAACAGTATCTATGCTGGAGTTGTATAACGACCAACGAAGAGCACTATTTCAATATATTTGATAAAGTACAGGAAAGGGTGATCAGCTTTAAAATTATACTCAGGCTGCGGTGGTAGAGAATCTGGGACCAAAATAACCAAAAAAAAAAACGTTTGATTACTTTCAAATTAAAATTTTTGCGTATCTTAAAGTTCGACTAGTAGGAAAAAAAATACATGAATAGATCAATTTTAATTTTTCGGAAAAGATAAGGAGTACACTCAATTAGAAATATCAGTTTCAGAAAATGATGTAGGTATAATATTTTTATCTGCTCCCACTATAGTAGATAGACTATTAGTACATTGTTTTTAAGGAGGTAAGTGGATTTTACCGTAGAAGTGGAAGTTGTTACGGACAACGGGAGGTAAGTGAGGTAACTTACCTCTCTAGGGAAAAAAGCGATAAACTGTCAGTAACAAGACTTTCTGCAATTGTGGCTGTTTTCCACCCACCATGTCTCTTGATTGCTAATACATCAATTCCTGTATTAGCCTGTACCGCTGCCGATGTTCTTCGGAATGAATGGCCTGTATATGTTTCAGGATGTTCTAATTTCAAAAACTGTGCAATCTTATTAGAAATCATAGAAAGGGTATTCTTGCCGACTGGTTGATTGTAACATCTACCTACATGATCTTAATATATTTCTTGAGAATTTATAGATGAGATACAGAACCCAGACGAGAAGTAATTGTAAACGTACTACATACTATTTTTAGAATCTGGAATTGTAAGTACAATAATGTCATCGAAATTTTTGAAATTAACGTTGTCCAAAGTAAGTTTGCATAACTCATCAGAACGGCATGTTCCTGTAATGCCTAAGACCGTCACTACCTTCATGAGCAAATATGTGTTATCGGGTGCCTGAACGAGAAAATCGTTGACTAATTCTCTTGTAAAAACGTTTGACTTTTTAGGTGTATAGCCGTCATTCTTACGTTTCAAAAATGCTCTCAGCTTGGGGTAATTTGATATATCCAAAATTCATACAAAAAGAGGGAAAATCAAAACAAACACGGATGAAATTTAACAAGTGTATATTTTTAAGAACCATGGATCTTATTGAAAGAATTTGTTGTCAATATCAATTTAAAGGTGATATATTGACTTTTGGTACAGAAGATAGTACATATTTACTGTTTTACATATTGTGATATTGATTAAAACATTAAAAAAATATTTAACATTTAAGATGGAATTGAATAACGGCCTACGAAAAGCACTATGTCATTATATTTGATAAAGTACAGGAAGGGGTGATCAGCTTTAAAACTATATTCAGGTGGTGGTGGCAGAGAAACTGGGATGATATGAACTAAAAAAAGAAAATAATGATTACTTAGGATATTTAAAATTTTGGTAGTTATAAAAAAGTACAAGCGGTTTATATAGAAAAGTCCAATGAAAACAAGAAGCAAACGGCAAAAAACCTGGGGAAAATCAAGTAGCTCAATTAAGAAATTCGCTTTAGTTGCGAAGCTCAACTTGTGTTTTCAATGTTTACAAGAAGTAACATAAATATTGTTACAATTTAACATTTTTTACAAAAAAATAATGCCGTTATAAAAAACGATACTTTTATAAATTTATTAATATGGTACAAAAAAATTGTAAAGACATTTTTGATTACGTTACTTGCACCTTTTAGCAACCTTAAGTTCGTTTCTGAGTCAGTAATTTAGTTGCAACTAATTTTGCTTTTTTTTAAATAGAATCGAAGATAAATAGCAATACAAATGAACACATCGAATTTTCAAAATACTCACTCAAAATTCAGTGAATTTTTACTTTTATTTTCATTGATCTACGTCAAATATATTGGGAGGTATTTGTGTCTTATTTAAAATAAAAACATCTTCCAAAATTGAACAACGTTTACACCATTCCTTTGTTTCCAACGAATACTAACCTGCTGTAGCTGCTGCTGCCTCAGTTCCAGTTTCGGTAACATTAATGAAAGCCTTTTGGACCACGTCACTTACGAGTAGGTTCTTATCAGACGAAGAAAGTCCTGTTAGATCGGCCTCGTCGGTAAATAGTTTTTGGATACCCAACTATATTTAAAAAAAAATTGTATTGCCGACGTGAAATATTAGCAAAAACTAATAACTTAAGTTTAATAGATTTAATAACTATCTGGTGTCCCAAAATTCAAGCAAGATTTGAATTTCGCGCCATTTGTGCGGTAAAGTATTGCCAATGAAAACAAAAGACAGCCCGACAGTTCAGGGTTATTAACAATGGAGAGCTATACGACAGAACAACGCGTTTATGTTGTTGAAAACTATTTTAAATGAAGGTTTGACAGCTACAGGTTGGAATTTTCGATTTAACGTAATCAAATGTGAAGAAATTAATTGAAAAATTCAGGGAAATTGGATCAATTAGTGATCTTAAATAGTCTGGTCGTCCTTCAACAAGTCGTTCAACACAAAACATCGAAGCGGTTGTTAAGAGTGTTGCAGAGAGTCCAGGAATATCTATTTGGCACAGTGGTCAATAGTTGGATATTTCGAAAAGAACTGAAGCCTACTGACCATGCAGACTGAAGAGAGTTCGTTGAATGGATTATTGAACATAAATAAGTGGATGCAAAATTATCTTTAGCGATGAGGCTCATTTCCATCTAGATGGCTTCGTTAATCGATAAAATTGTCGCATTTGGCTTTAGAAAACCCACGAGTAATTGTTGAGAAACAAATGCGTCCACTACGTGTCACAGTTTGGTGCAGATTTTCAGCTGAAGGCATCATTGGACCATACTTCTTAGAAAATGCGGCTGAGTAGGCAATAACAGTTAATGGTTCTCGCTATCGCGACATGATAATCCAGTTCTTGCTAAATTGCAAGATAGGGATGTAGACGAGAACTGGTTTCAAAAAGACGGTGAGACATGCCATACACCCCGAAAAACAATTAAATTACTACATGAGTCATTTTCTGGTCGTGTAATTTCTCGTTTTGGTGATCAGAATTGGTAGCAATTGAACGACGTTGGACTTTTAGAGAAAAAAAAAATGTTACTTGGACTTTTATACGTGGAAATGGTCAAAGGGCTTATAATACACCTAAAAAAAAATAAATGCGTGAGTAGGGGTGGCGCAGGGTTGATTTGGGAGTTGAAAAGTTGTGAAAAATTGTATCATTGGGATTTCTGACGAAAGTTGATGTCAAATAAAAAAGTATCCAATACAAAAGTTGTAGATAATACAAAAATCTACAACTTTTGTAAGAGTCACTTTTTAAGACAACCTTAAAAATTTACGAGAAAAATGCGAAAAACAGGTTTTTTCTTATTTTTCGTTTTTTGTTTCTTATTCCCGCAAAAATAATTTAATTTTGACGAAATTTGGTGAAAGTATACCTTTCTGTGTCTTAATTAAACAGAATTTTTTTTTAAATAAAAAAATCAAGAAAAATCATCGTACAGAGTTCTGCCGGTGATTTTTTTCGTTTTACATACCTATACTTTTTGGTGAAATAAAAAATCTGTAATCATAGTTCAAAAACATGCTCAAAAATGCAAAAAAATACTTGCAACAATGAATGTTTCAGTAATTGTTTAAATTTAAAAAATAATTCAAAAACTGATTACCTACCCCATTTAATTATACGGAAAAAATACAAAAAAACTGTATTTCATTGTTTAACCCAAAACTTTATTTTTGTACAGTATTGCTATAAACATCTAAGTCGAATTACAAATGCACAAATGATAAATTATCTCTGGATGATTTGAAATTTCGTTAACACAAAGTAAGTCTACTGTTGACGCGAAACCCGAAAACTCGAAATTTTGCAAAATCGTTTTATTTTTTTCTGGCTTTATTTGACAACGAATTTTAAAATAAATTGCGTCAACATATTTGCAATCCGACGTTTCGTCTTCGAGGGGACATCATCAGGTTAATTTTTTAAATATGTCGCTGCTATTTTTATGACAAAATCTAGTCATTTTTAATTCTGAATTAGATAATATTGCTATTGTAATCGCTTAATATTATTAATATATTATTTGTTTTATTTATTCACTATTCGACTTGACCTACAATTGAATAGTGTAATCAGTTTTAGATTTTTTTTTAAATATAAACAAATTATCAACAATTACTGAAAAAATCATTTTTTATTTTTTTTTGGATCTTTGAACATCTTTTTGAACTGTGATTACAGATTTTTTTAGTTCACCAAAAAGTATATGTTAAAACGAAAAAAATTATCATCGGCAGAACTCGATTTACGATGATTTTTCTAAGTAGAATTTTTTTTTGAAAAAAGTGTTTCAGACCGGAAAAAATGAATATCTCGGAAACTTTTGATTTTTTTATCTAAAAAATTTCTGGTTATTTAAGACACAGAAAGGTATACTTTCACCAAGTTTCGTCAAAATTAAATCATTTTTGCGGAAATGAGAAATAAAAAACGAAAAATAAGAAAAAACCTGTTTTTCGCATTTTTCTCGGAAATTTTGAGGTTATCTTAAAAAGTGACCTCTACAAAAGTTGTAGATTTTTGCATGATGTACAACTTTTGTATTAGATACTTTTTTGTTTGACGTCAACTTTCGCCAGAAATCCCAATGATACAATTTTTCACAACTTTTCAACCCCTCAAATCAATCCTCCGGCACCCCTACTCACGCATTTATTTTATTTTTCGTTTATTATAAGCCCCTTTACGATTTCCGCTTATAAAAGTCCAGGTAATAATTTTTTTCTCTCTAAATGAGTTATTTCGATCGTTATTTTCTCTTTGGGTTTTTTTTGAAGTCTAAGGTTTATGCCAACAAACCCGCGACCACTCACGCCTTGAGGGAGGAAATGGAGCGCTCTATTAACGAAAATCAGTGGCATTTATGCACAACGGCCATGGAAAAATTGTGCGTATGTGCCAGCAATGTTGTGGAGGTCATTTACCCGATATTCTATTCCATACATAACCCTATACTGCACACTTTATGAATGAATTAAAAATTTACAATTTTTTATTGAAAACATGGGTTTTCTATCAAAATTCCTTCTTGCGTGAATTTTGGGACACTTTTTACTTACATCCTGTAGGATTGGTTTAAACTTAATACTCGTTTCTGTGACAAATTTGGGTATTTCTACCTCAATTATTGCTTTAATGAGTGGTTGAGTAACTAACAGCTGCTCTACATTCTCTTCCAGTGTAGCAAGCCCGTCTACTGCATTAGGTAAAACGAAGGTCATACTAACGTCTGCGCCTGCAAGAAAATTTAAGTAAATGTGTGCACAATTATTACATAATAATTTAAATTAAACGAGTGAAAAATCATACGTCTAGTGAGCTGGTAGAATAATTTGATTTCTTATAAGTTTCGTCGATCGTAAATGACGTTTTTTGTGAATTTTGACCTGTTTTTTTAATTTTCCCGAAAACTCAGACCCGACGAAAAATAGAGGGACTAAACGAAAACGTAACCCTTTGCATAGATCCTTTGAAGAAAATAGAACACGTTATAGCAATAAAAATAAGAAGGATTTGTAGATATCGTTTCCTTTTATTTAGAGAGTAGAGTATTCTACAAGTTTTATTGCATTCTCAATTTTCTAGGCTGTTATCTCATCTCCCAGCACAAAAAGTAGATGGATAGATGGATAGATGGGTGGGTTTTATAGGTGGTACAGGTGGATGGATAAAAATGCGTATTCATGCATGAACGACTGGATAGAAAGATGTATGAATTCATAAATGGGTGGGTGGATAAAAAGATGGATCCAGAACTCTGCAACACGAATTATGCCATGAATATGGCGTTTTTAAGCATTTTGATCTATTTTCTGTTTTTGAATGAAATTGGACCAGCTTGTCTGACTCTATGATGATAAATTGGAATTAAACGAGTGAAAAATCATACGTCTAGTAAGCTGGTAGAATAGTTTGACTTTTTATAACTTTCGTCGATCGTAAATGACGTTTTTTGTGAATTTTGATCTGTTTTTTCAATTTTCCCGAAAATTCAGACCCGTTGGGCCAAATCTGAAGGCAGATTCGGAACAAAATACATGGAAATACATGGGTCTGAATACCAGATCCGATACTTTTTTTTTTGTAGGGCTGTGTAATTATTGCACTAATAAACTGCATTACCTCTATAATCAAGCTTCAAGAATTTAGTATTGAGCGCTGGATTTTCATAGTAGCTTAGGTATTCGGATTGGTACATAGTGTCAATATCAACTGTTTCGTCTTTAGTTTTAAAGAATTTTTTCTTATATGTACTATAACTTTGGAATTCGGATGCCCATTTTCCACTAAAATAGAGCGCGTTAACCAAAATCATGCTGGTATCTTTATCGAGAGTATCTGGATCGATCAAATTCTTTATTTTGTGATTTGTGTTGTCTTCCACCCAGTTGTTAATAGTCTCCGCAGCTTCAACTTTGTTTTTAAAGTCGACATCACTCACTCCTAAAACAGATAAATGAATATATGTATATCTGTATGCAGGTATTTTTTTTCTTTTTGCATACAGTGTGCTCTTTTTGTGTAGTGTGTGTTTTTGTTTTGTACAGTGTGTTCTTTTCGCATACAGTGTGTCCTCGGATGCAGTTGAAAAGAGGCTTCTCTGTTTTATTTTTCATTTTATGAAGAAATGTCATCCTGATTAAAAAATTTCGCTTCTGATCAAATATAGGAAACCGTTGTTTTAAGTGGGCCAATATGGGTGTCCTTTAACTCGACTGTCAAACTACTACAGAATAGTTCTTGACAAAAATTGACACAAAAAAGTTAAATAAACTAAGGCTTAATTCCGGCTTCTTATAAAGACTTAGAGTTTGAAATTGACTTTCCTTAAATATAATTCAAATCACTACCAAATTCGGCTAACAGTTTTGGCTATTAATGACTCATATTTACAGAGACTCGTAAACATATGGGTTGCTTGGGATCCATTTTTTCGTAACCACCTTGATAAAAAAACGTATATTTTTTTGTTTCCTTTAAACTGTCAATTTAAATCCTATAGTAAGAAAGAATGATGGTAATTGAAAAAATTATTGCTCTTGAAATATTTTGATAAAAATTTTATAAAGTATGTCACTATACAGGGTGTGACGTGTATAATCTACAAAAATTAAACTACAGCTTCCTGATGATATGTGTAATAGAAAAGTCTTATACGAAAAAGTTCCATCTTCGCGCGTTTTTTTGTAAATTAAAGTTCATTTATTCAACGAAAATGACGGCCGCCCCTGTGTTATTTATTAAAAACTCTGGAAATGTTTTTATGCGATCCGAAATGCAACCTTATAATTTAAGTCGGTATAATCTATCTAATACTAGTAATACTAAAAGGTTAGGTTACATTGTCAAAAAATATATGCAGTCAACTGATTTTGTAACGAGCGTTCAAATAAAAACGTGGTCGAAGTTGGCTCTGACATATTGGACGTAGGGAGTAGCTTATAGCGACCAACTTAACCTCATTTCTCAACGAGCTGTATAGCAGCTGTCAGTTTCTATAAAGTTCATGACTATATAACTTTATTTTAAAGAATAATCGTGATAACAACAACAAACAATTAAAGGAGCTGCGGAAAGTGTCCCCCTCCTTGTTATAACAATAAATTAAAGCAGCTGCTGAAAGTGTCCCCCTCCTTGTTCCAAGCACTTTTCACACCTGTTCCTCAAAGAATTAAAGACATTTTCTAAGATGCTCGGGGTATTGTTAATTTCACGAATCTTGTCTATAAGTCGAGCCTGCAGATGGTTTAAATCAGGAATAGGCAGTTCAAAAATAGTGTTTTTAAGGTAAGGCCACAAAAAGAAATCACATGGCGTAATATCACATGACCTCGGTGGAAATTCATGTTCAGCATTGAGACTTATTAGTCGATTTTGGAAAACTTCCCTCAACATATTCATCGTCTCGCCTGCCGTATGTGCCCTTGCGCCATCTTGTTGAAAGTAAAAGTTTGTAATTTCGTTTTCTTCCAGCTGGTTAACAAAAGGAGCGATAATTTCTTCTCTATACCTTTGCGCAGTAAGAGTACCATTAAAAAAAATAGGTCCATAAATCCTCCTTCGATTGAGAGCACACCAAACTCCAATTTTTTGAGCGTGTAGAGGGCCCTCGACAAAAAAGTTATCTGGTTTTTCAGAAGACCACATTCTCATATTCTGTGAGTTTACGTAACCACTTAAATGAAACCAGGCTTCATCAGAAAAAAAGGTGATATTATGAAGTTCACCGTAGTTGTTTAAAAACCATTAACAAAATACAGCCCGTCGCGGAAAATCAACTTCATGAAGTTCTTGCATAGGACTCTATGATAAACACTTTTTGTTCTTGAGAAAACATCATTTTAAACGCTTTTTAAAACGAAAATATTCAAATTGATAGCGGCGATATAGCGCTTTGACAGATGTCGTTTAAGTTCATTTGCTATACGCTACGCCCTACGTCCAAATTTTCAGAACCAACTTGATCACGTTTTTATTTGAACGGTTGTTATTTGTATTGAATTCATTATTCACTTAATTATTAAATATTAAGCATCGTCCATCCAACCATCAGTAAAAAATAAGAATAGCGTGCCGATTACATTAAAAACGAGATTCTTATTTCTTACGTTGCTTAATTTTTTAGTTTGTACACAAACTAGTTTTACAATGAATCGAGAAAACAATGCATTTACTATTTCCGAATGTGTCGATATGGTGTTAGAGTATGGCGCAGCCGGAGAAAATGCGCTCGCGGCGACTAGGTTGTACCGGGAACGATGGCCATAACGTCACCCCCCAAGTGCAAATACAATCCTACAGTGCGTTCAGCGGCTGCGAGACACGGGAAGTGTCATTCCTCGAGGAGAAGGACGTGGTCAGCAAGTGAACCTTAATGTTGAAGATGCAGTGTTGGGAAATCTTGACGAAGACCCCACAATTAGTACTCGACGACTCGCACAGCAAGTAGGAACCTCATCTTGTACCGTACATCACATCTGTTAAGGCGCCAGCTGTTGCACCCCTATCATCTGCAACCAGTTTAATAGATTTTACCCCCGGATTGTGATCAACGAATGCGTTTTTGCAGATGGTTTTTACGGCAATATGCCAATCAAGTAGACTTTCCTGCTTACGTTTATGTAACAGATGAGGCGACATTTATCCGTGATGAAGTGAATTTCCATAATATGCACAAATGGACCGATGAAAATCCTCACGCGATTAGGGAAACTCATTTTCAACATCGGTTCTCGGTAAATGTTTGGGCTGGCATAATAGGTGATGTACTTGTGGGTAACTATTTATTTGAGGGACGACTAAATGATAAAACGTATGCTGACTTTTTGGAGAACCGGTTGCCTGAATCAGTTCAGGCACGCATCTTTTATCTTCAACATGGGGCTCCTCCACACAGTACTCGAGAAGTAACGACACTTTTGAATGAAATGTTTCCTCAGCGATGAATTGGACGCTTTGGTCTTGTGCCGTGGCCACCTCAGTCACCCGATCCAACTAAAATGGACTTTTATCTTTGGAGTCACTTGAAGTCATTGGTTTACAGTACTCTAATTGCTACGGTGGAAGAATTGCGAAATTCATAGCCAAAACTGTTTACCAAATTTGGTAGTGATATTTCAAGTAGTTTAAATGATAGTTAAAGAAAAATTAATGCGAATAGGTAATTTTCAGACTGCTATGTCTTCATAAGGAGTCAAAATTGCGCCTCAGTTTATTACTAACAAATGTTTAGAAATATAGAAGTTGATTTTTATACTCGGGAACTGAAAAATTAAAACCAAAAGAATATTCAGTTATTCTCTATTTCTTAATATGTACAGGGTGTTTAGATTATCTTACTAGTATTGAAATTTTGGCACTTTGATTAAATATATAACTGTATTTTTTTAAATATACATATATTTTATTATTAGCTCCCAATTTTTAATTTATTTTAAATATGTATTTTAATAATAAGTAATGTTTATTAGTACCTGAATTATAAATACTCGTAGCTATAGATTTGAAATCATTTTCGAGTTTGACTCCTTCCTTGACATAAATTTTATTGGCACTCAATATTTTCAATTCCTCATCTGATTTTTTCAGTTTTGGCAAAAATGTTTTGAAAAACTTTTGTATATTATCTTTGGTTTTGGGAAGAGAAAGTCCAGTTATCAGTTCTGAAGATGTGTCTCCCTTTGCACCCTCGTTTGTAAGAGCAAGGACTGTTTCAACGGAAAACGGGCTTGCTATAAAATTGCCCTTCTCATTTTTCAAAATCTCCTAAAAAACGATACAAATTACAATTCTTTAGTTTTAATGTGAAATATGAAATACTTAAAGTTAACTAAAATATATACATTTTTTAAAAAACGTTTGAGGTGTAATAAAAATTACCCATGTGCTTTTACGATTTGATGGGATTTAAAACAATTCAAGTTTCTTAGTTATTTGGAAAAACAAAAGTGCATGATTTACACTTTACTGCAAATGAATGATATAGTTGTAAATTAAAAGTGGAAAAATACCAAAATAAACAACAAAAAAACAGTTTTTTTCTATATTTTTTATGTATTTTGCCACCGATCAATAGATTATAAACATTGGTGCAATAAACCTTGCGCAAATTGCCCAAAAAATAAAGAAGAATATACGGAAACTATGTCTCAAATAAATAACTTAAGACAATATTAAAAAAAATTACCAATGTAATACGTGAAAAATACTCGGCACTGTTATGCAGCAGTTGATTCAAAGTAGGGTTTTATTATCTAAAAAAAATAAGAAAAGTTTACTTAGATCATTTATTTATTTTCGTATTTCTAATCGGCGGCCGAACTTGCTCATTAAAAAATAAAAATATTTACAAAAACAAAATTGATATCACATTTCACTCACTAATCGCCTCCAAAATTGCTATAAAAAAAATTCGATATACGAGTATTTTTATACAGTAATTTTTTAATTCCTACTACATCCTAAAAGAAATAGGCGCTGTTTCACGTTTTTAGAGCTTCTAATAATTCACAGACAGCTGCCACTATCAATATTATCGAAACACACTACGTATTTTTTGTGCTTTATAAATACAAAATAATAATAAAAATTATAATTATAAATAAAAATTATTATGCTTCTGAAAGAAGTTGTTACAAGTAAAAAAGAAATACAGGGTATCTGGTAAGTATATACTCTCGGGAGTGTATAGGAGAGGTCAAAATAATCCTAGTTTGTCTAAAAAAAAAAAAAATCATAAAGTACCCGTTAACAGAGATACAGAGCTCCAAAGGGGTACCCCGAGATTTGTCTTATCGGCTCTAACTTTTGAACTGACATGTATAATTGACGAGCCAACCAAAGTATTTGAAAATTCAGTTTTCATCTCTATAAAATGACATCTGTCAAAATTTTGGCCCAACGAGTGTGGTGGCAAGTCCAGTCCCGTCTCTGACAGTGTAAAACATCTAATGGTTTTATGAGCCTTTATGGCCTACATAAAATATTAAAATTTTATTAAATTATACAAGTCGGTTCAAAAGTTACAACCGAAAAGGTAAATCGCTGGGTACCCCTTTAGGGCTCTGTATCGCCTTTAAGGGGCACTTTAGGAAACAAATTTTATGACAAACTAAGATTATTTTGACTTTCCCTATACACTCAGGAGAGTATGCCATGTACTTACCAAATATTTACAGTTAGCTTTATATGCCGTCTATAGAATTAATTAATAAAATAAATAAATAAAAATGAACCAAATTCAATGTAAAAAAACTATTGAACACTAATGAATATTGCAAATTTTTCATAATAATTATAATAAAATGTTTACCTTATACACAGCTGCTGTAAATTTGTGATTGCCATTTACGAATTCTTTTAGTACTTCATTTTCTACTGGCTGGGATAGAGCCCCATAGAATGAAACCAATAAAATAACAGCTCTCATTCCCGCTGATTGTTTTCTGTAAATTGTTACATCAGAGTGTTTTGAAAATTGGCTTGAATACTTCTATCTTATTTTTTAAGATATCTTCTCCGACATTTTCCCAAAAAATAAAATAAAGCTATGACAAATTATAAAAAATAATGTATCCATGCAAAGTTTTGTCAGTAGTTGGTATTTCGGGAATATAAAAGATGTGTTTTATTAAATATCTTCCTGATAAGTATATAATTTTTGTTAATTTTATCTTTATATTTATAGACCAGGAAAATTAGAGAAAAAAAGAGAAACTCGAAAAAATTCCTATCCGCGATATTATTATAAAATTGTATAAAGGAACATAATACAAGACATCTCTCATCTCGTGAGTCAAAAAATTTGAATAGCGAACTTTTCTATTTAAACAAATAAGTGAAGAAAACAGTTTTTTCACTTTGCAAAAACCATAAATTTTAGCGAAAAGTGACTCACAGACAAACTTGTAGGGAATAAAATTATCTACAAAATGAGACTTGTTAAATTAAAATTGGTTAACCCTCCAACAGGAGCCAAGATAAGATTTTTTTTAAATCGTAGCACAATTGTTATAAACATTAAGACTTGAATTTTCCGCAAAATGAAGTTTACGACGTAAAGTTCAAATTGATGCGCGCTGTAAAATTTTGCAATATCTCGGCTTCTATTTGTCGTAGAAACTTCTTATTTTTTAAACTGGGGTAGCTCACGAAAAAATAACAATGGGCATATTTAAGAATTCGTAGAATAGCCATGAACCCCAGAAAAAATGCATCTTTTATACTTAAATTCTTTTTATATACAAAAATGTCATAAAAATTATTGTTAAAGGAAATATTAATTAAAATTTCAATTTCAGAATTATTTTACTATTATTAAATAAATAAATGTAGCTATCGTTCATTTAAAAAGTTATTTTTTTACATATTAAGCCAAAGTAAACTTATTTTTTCAATATTTTGTTAGCTATTTAATTACGATTTAAATGTAAAATTAAAGTCACAAGTTATTATTTCTCATAAAAATAGAAAAAAAATTAATTTTAAATTGTATATATTGCATTATATCTATTATTGAAAATGGTTGTGATTAATATTTTTTTAATTAATTTTGATTATGTTGCAAAGATTAATATGATAAACAAGAAAAAAATGATATGGAATCAAATTCACCGTCTTTCAAGAAGTTAAAATTGTAATTTTATCGACCGCATTATTTTTAATATTTTTTAATTTTGAGAATTTTGCAATAAATTCAAACGATTTTTATTCTTTTTTAAATCTTTTAACAATAAATAATAATTTGAAAATAATTTGTGATTTTTTTTCGACTCTTCTATGAGTATACGTAAATCCTAAATCAACTTTGCTGTCTTGAATATTACAAGAAACTGAAAAATACTTAAATTAGGAAAGCTTGTAGAGCTGTATGATGATGTAAATGTAAATTTATTCATTATTTTTTTTATTTTGTCCCTGTTAGCGTTTTCATGACACTTTCTGAAGAAGATTTGATTCGTATTATCCCACAATTCCTTGTGTCTTATTTTTTTTGCAACTGTACTGCATTTTTGTCTCGTACAAATAACCTTAATTTTTTAATTATCCCAATGGTTCCCAACTTACATATCAGTTTCATTTTTTAAATGGGCACTATTGTTGGCCATCTAGTTAAGAAGCAAAAGCTTTGGACTTTACAAAAATATGTAGTTTTTCATACATTCCTTAAAAAGTACAATAGGTATGTGTTTGTTTTTTATTAATTAAAAAGAAGGTTGAAGCTGCCCATCACTAAAAACAAATATATTTACAAAGCAGAAATTGCTACCATTGTTATATGTAACTTGCTATAGAGAAAACCAAATTCATGGAGTCGGTAAAAAAACTTTTATGTAAGTATGAATATTCCTATTTTGACTAGTCCCTGACCAACTATGATTTCTATTTAGAAATATATTACTACGATTTACATGGTGACAGATATTAAATCTGCACACTTTGACAAATGTTGTATTTATTAATAGATTTTGACCGAATTTTCTTTAAAACATCAAAAACTGTAAATTTTACATTTTATTTTTGTTAATCAAGATCTACCGTAATTATTTTCAAGCTAAAACATAAAAAATAATACTAGCGATTTTTTTTTTATATAAAATGCAAATATACCCCTGTACTCAGCGCCCTCTTATGTAGGTATGTACAAAATTTTCTGATAAATTTAAATAAAATAACGAACATGTTAATATTATTATTGATAGAGTAAGCTATGGAATAAACATTGAAACCACACAACAAACCAATTCCAATAATATTATAAAACAATAAGCAAAAATTATGTCAATGACGCTACAAAATTACATGGAATCAATTAGGTGATGAGGTAATTGTCTTGATCGAGAACGAAATGTCCATGGAAAATTAGTTGCTATTGCTTTACAAAGAACCAAGGTCCCGAGAAGTTAAAATCTCTTAAGTTAATTAGTAATATTTTTAGAATTAATTGGTTGTTTTTGATGCTCATTCCAATGTTTACTTTATCTCTGACGATAAGTGCACAATTAATAATAATAATAATAATAATAATAATAATAATAATTAAATATAATAAAATTATTTAATTTTAATTATGAATATAATGAATATAGAATTAGATACAACTTTTAATATCATTTAAAAATTAAGTATGAGACTGGATTCTCCGTAAAAAAATGCATAAAATAAGGCAGATATAAAATGAACTGCGCCCAATACAGGGATTAGGTAAAATGCAATTCTGATTTTTTTACCTATAACTCCAAATCTAAAGAGTATATTAAAAGTCTACTTTCACTTTAAATATATCTTGTAAAAAGTGGGCATAGTTCCCCAAAAGTATGTACTAGGTAATTATTTAAATCTACTTGTCCGAGGCCGAAGAAATATTTTGTCACTTAATAAAGAATTTTCTTTTCATTTTTGTTATTTCTGAAGAATTCAAGAATTCACTTCTATATAGGACGTAGCTAAGCAAAAAGCACACAATATACAATTTTTGACTATTCAAAGTAGTATTTTTTTTATTTTAAATATAATTTATTTTTCTTTAACTAAACATTTACCTCTGGTATACACAAATAAATATTATTTCACCCTAAAAACAACAAATGTGTTGAATACAGGGCTATTAAAATATAATTTTTTATGACATGAACAATATTTTTGATACGATGAAACCAAATTATAAAATTTTTAATATTATTGGTGTCATAACTACATTTTTGAGAAATTCATAAATTTTATTTTTCGAAAACTGTCATTAAAAGTTGACATAATATTAATTAAATGTTAAAGCATAAGTTTTGTGTCTACAAAACGTCAAAGTCTTTTAAGACTTATATTCAACTACAAAAATCAGTAAAATTGTAGATGATAGAATCAATTCGCCAATTTATTTATCATTATCAACTGAAGCATAAATATTAATAGTCATTAATAATCACAGCCACACAAAAAAAGTAGTCTGTACTTTTCATGCGGCATATATTATCCTTAGTATTTTTGCCTCCTGATCACGAATCCGCGCCAAATTTGGTGTACGGGGATTTTCGGGGTCACTGATCACGAATTCGAGATCAGAAGTACAAAATTTAATCAATTACCTATGTATTTTATTACCTGAGATTAAGCAAAAAACCCATTAATAGATTTGTTCCAGAAAAATGAACAATATATAGCCGAAAAAAAGAAGGTTAAAACAGGATTGGGTACTCAGGTTATAAAGTAAACAACAATATTACAAACAGAATTTTGCAATTCTGACCTAGAATTCGTAATCAGCGACCCCGAAAATACACGTATACCAAATTGGACGCAAATGTGGTATTTTTTGAAAATTTGGCCGGCCATGTTCGATCCGCCATCTTGAATTTTGCAAAATTAACATCAGATCCGTGATCAACGACCCCAAAAACCCCCGTATACCAAAGTTGGCGCAATTTTGTTATTTTTTTTAAATTCGTGATATCTGACCTTAATTGACTCGTTTATTTTATGTCAGAAATAGATAGTCCGGTCAAATTAGACCAAAAAATAAGAGTGAAGGTACATAAATTTACAACAAGCTGAAAGTGAGTAAAATTATTTAAAACATAATTAAAAATAACATATTAAAATTCCTCATCGTTCCGGTACTCGGAAAAAAATTTACTTGAGGTCAAATGTAAAAAAATGGTGTTTTCGCGATTTTCAGCTAAACAGTAAGTTTTATCATAAAATTGTAGATCATAAAATTATCTATAAAAAATGTATCAATACTTTTTTTCTTAAGAGCCACCGTTTCTGAGATATAACGATTCAAAAAGTTGTAAAAGTTGTAATCGTCATAATATGCATAAGTACGCCACGTATATACATCTCTGAAGCTGTAATATAAGTAAAAATATCATATATCATCAATGCAAGTATCTAAAGAGCTGATGAATTATCAGAATATCTTAAAAATCAGAAATCTGTGACAATAGATGAAGATTGTCGTAAAAATTACACTCGAAAGTGTTCTATTGCTGCAGCTAATAAAAGACAACGCGAAGAACAAGAAGCCAGTATGTACATCAACAGTAAGTCCTCCTCGTACTAGATCACGTATAAGTGAATCAGCTTTTTGTTTTAAAAAACTATGTTTATTTTGCGGCAAGGAATTGAATGAAGAGTATGAGAGAAGAAAATCCTCGGATTCTCGCCATCGAATTAGCCAAGTAAGTACACTTCAATTTAAAGATTCAATTTTGGAAGTAGCTTGGACTCGTTCCGATGCTATAGCAGAAGCTGTTCTTGCTCGAGTCGAATTTGAACATGATTTAGTTGCTGCTGAAGCTAAGTATCATCATGATTGCTATGTTTCTTTCTTGAAACCTTCTACTGGGAGTAACGTCGGTCGTCCTAAAGACGAAGCTACGAATCTGGCAAAGGAGGAAATATTTACTTACATTGAAAATAGCAATGACTGTCGGTTCACTTTAAACGAACTAAGAAATGTTTGCAAAACTACAACTTCAGATTACAGGACGATTAAGGTACGACTAAAACTTAAGTATGGCGGTAAACTTATTATCACTGAAAAATCGGGAGCATCAACATTTATATGCTTAAGAAACAATCATCATGATATTTTGAATCAAGCCTGGTACGAAAAAAAAAATGAATAAAAAAGAAGAACGATTCAGAATCCTAGAAGCAGCTGCAGCTATCATTCGCGAAGTTTCAAACTAAATAGAATCACAACAGACCTGTGGAAAAGGCCTACTGGGGAAACCACGTTAAAAAAACGCGCTAAGTACACTACCTCATAGGTGGCGTGGAAACGTGAGCATATTATGACGATTACAACTTTTACAACTTTTTGAATCGTTATAGCTCAGAAACGGTGGCTCTTAGGAAAAAAAAGTATTGATACATTTTTTATAGATAATTTTATGGTCTACAATTTTTGTATGAGGTAATTTTATGATAAACCTTACCGTTTAGCTGAAAATCGCGAAAAACCCATTTTTTTGACCTTTGACCTCGAGTAAATTTTTTTCGAGTACCGGAACGATGAGGAATTTTAATATGTTATTTTTAATTATGTTTTGAACAACTTTACTCACTTTCAGCTTGTAAATTTATGTATCTTTGAATGTCTAGATTGACCGGACTAAGAACCATCAATTCTGATCGCGAATTCACGTTCGGCGGGGTCTTGGCACTTTTTCGTGAATTTTTGCTATTTTTGGCCTGTTTTTGAGGTCAGGAAATTCCTGTGATGCGATGGCTCAATTCTGAAACCGGATTCGTGATCAGGAGGCAAAAATATTACGGATAACATATGTCGCATGAAAAGTACAGACAATTTTTTTTTTGTGTGACTGTGTATTCAATTTAATTAACAGTCAATTTGAAAGTTAGTTTTTTTTTAATTACGTTTCCACTATTTAGCGATCTTGATCTATGTCATGGTTTTAGTGATCAATATTTCAAAGTAAGACTATATTTCAAATAATTGCCAACGTTTCAGTGATATTTTACACCATCCTCAGGGCTCTAAAATCAAATAATGCTTTTTACTACAAAATTCGTTAATATATTAAAATAATTTAAAAAACAAATCATTTACAATTCTAAATTATTGTTCCTGCCACAATTACCATAAACCCGAAAAAGAAAAAATCTACTAACACCGAAACGTTGGCAATGATTTAAAATATAGTATTCTTTTACTTATTGATCTTCATCCCACTAAAACCTTGACTTGGATTTCTTTTAATGTTTAAATTTAAAGTCGTAACTATACAATTGTGAAAACTGACTTCACTCGAGGATGGTAAGTTGCTTACTGGAATAGTGTCTGATTAAGGGACTGGGTAGTTATTGAAGATGTACCAGATTTGAAAGTAGAGTCTGACGCTCCAAAGAATATTGGATATTAAAATTTATGGAGTACTAATTGGTAGGTGACATACATGTCAAGTAAATTAATTGTGAATATAAAAATTTTCTCTTCACATTTTTACTAATTCTTGAACTGTAGCATAATTTTCGAAAAAAATTTTTGATACCCGATTGCGAAATTTTTTTACATTCTCGAATGATTTTTGCAAAAATAGCATTTCGAATTCTAGCTATTTATAGCTAAACAGAAAGTTGCCATTAATCACTCAAAATATTTGCTCTATATAAAACAAAGCAATAATAATTCAATAGAATCATCACATATTTAAGCAGAGAAATAATTAGCTTACCTAATTCCTTCTGAAGACGTGTTGAACTACGACTAATTCCAATTTGTTGTTGGATATAGAGAGAACTGGTAAATGTTATAATAACTCCCACCAGAAACGGTAGAACAAACAGGTTTTTACCCGCCAGTGCGATTATCAGTAATTGTAACGTTAAAACAACTGATTTCTTATTATTATATTTAAATTTGATATTGTCAAAATATTTGTTCAAATTCAGTTCAAAGTCAGTTATGGAATATATGTTTCATTATAGTACATGCAAACATACAGTGTGACTCATTAAGAATCTTTTAAAAAATATCTGAGCGCACGATTCGTTTGATTTTTTTATACAGGGTGAGTCACGATTAGGTGTAAAAATTTAACCGAAATTTCTTCTCGCCAAAACAAAATAATTGGTCCAATAAACTTTTCTTAATATTTCCAGAACGGCTCGAACATATTGTTTTGAAATTTGTTGTAATAAATGTCATTGTAATTTGTTGTAATAAATGTCATTGTCAATTGTTGGATGTCAACTGAGAAAGGCCTGCATTCTCTTCGGGTTGCCAATTTCCAGCATTTAACACGTGGTCTGGAGCGATAAGCTAAATTGTCTGTGTATTTACTCATACTGGTGATTATAGTTGCCAAATCTTTTGTGGAAGAACGTAAACAGTATGTTGTCTGGCGTACACGAACGACAAAATTTCGTCAAATAATATAAATTTTGAACTTTTGGAAGTCGGTATAGGGGTTCCTCAGGGATCCATACTAGGCCCAATTCTATTTTTACTGTACACCAACGAATTCGGTAACGTAGTTTCTGACATCTCTTTTGTCATGCATGCTGATCCTTGTTAGTATCTGAAACAACATAAACAACAACTAATACTATATCAAAAGCAGTGAGTGCGTGCTATAAATCCAACTATCTCTATCTCAATTCTGAAAAAACTCAAGTAATTAGGTTTCCTAACAGGCAAAAATATTGTGCCAAATTATGTTTAACTTTAAATTAAATTAGGCAACGAAAATTAAATTTTTGGGAGTAATAATTGACGAATGCCCTAACTTGGAAATCTCATTGTACTCACTTAATATTGAAATTAAACTCGATATGTTATTTGATAAGAAACCTGTTTTAACTTCTTCACAATTGATAATTGCTTACCAAGCGTATGTGAGTTCCATATTGAGATATGATGTTTTCTTTTTGGGGAAATTCCTCCCTTGCATCAGATGTTTTTATTTCACAAAAACATATTTTAAAAATACATGGCTGGAACACCTTTGATTTGCAGAACTTTTTATGAAGAATAATTTTTTTTCATCAAACCAATAATTAAAAAAAGTATCCCATATGGTACCGACTTAATTGGACACATTGTATATAGATATACAGGGTGTCTGGTAAGTATATGGCATACCCTCGGGAGTGTATAGGGGGGATCAAAATAACCCTAGTTTCTTATCAGAAAAAAATTCTCAAAGTGGCCCTATACAGAGCCTCAAATGAAGAATACATACATTTTACTATTATCTCCAGTTATGGAAACAGAAAAATAAACTAATTCTAAGTTCTGATAATGAAAACATTTAGATTTTGAAAACCTCAGCGACTTATTGAAGTGTGCGAATATAGTGACGTGTATTTTCATTGTAAAATTGTTGGTTAGGCGAAACTATTTTATAAAAATTTATTTATTACTGTCGGCTGCCTGGGGCTAGAAGCAGTTCAAAATACATTTTTTAGTTTCCAAGGAAACACCCGTATGAATATTAAGTAGCAAACCTGTATAGTTTTATATTAATAATATAATGTGGTTTCTGTAAGGTCTTTGAGAATATCTTGTATCAGTATGTCTAACCATGTCAAAAATATTGTAACCATAAATCAACATGGTTTTATGAACGGGAGATCTACTACAACGAATCTCGTGTGTGTTTCTCAATATGTTCCGGATAATCGGGCGCAGGTTGATATTATATACACAGATTTCTCGAAGGCCTTCGATAGACTGGTTCACAAAATTTTGATTGAAAGACTGGGTGGTTACGGATTGTCTGAGAATTTAGTTGATTTGTTTGTGTCATACCTGACTAATAGAACGCAATATGTACAACAAGTAATAAGAGTACTGTCAGGAGTACCTCAGGGTTCAGTCCTGAGACCTCTACTGTTCAACATCTTTTTGGATGACATAATTAATTCCATTGATGTCAATTTTTTAATGTACGCAGATGATATGAAGTTATATAGGTACGAGGATTGAGACCTCTAAGGACTGTGAACGGCAGCAAAATGCTTTAAATTTAGTCGAACATTGGTGTACAGCTAATAAGTTCCCACTGAATTGTAAAAAATGTAATGTTATGTCATTTAGTAGACAAATACACCCATTGATCTTTGGTTACCACATTAATGGTGTATATTTAGATCGGCCTACCCTCATCAAAGATTTAGGGATTGTATTTGATTGTAAGCTTTCGTTTGTCGAAGATGTTGATAGAATTTTGAAGACCTCATATAAAAATTTAGGGTTCGTTATTCGAAATGGTAAAGATTTCTTGGATTGTAGTACATTATTTATTTTATATAATTCGTTTGTGAGGTCTAGATTGGAATATGCATATATTGTGTGGAACCCGCTATATACAGTTCACATAAATAATTTGGAGAACATACAAAGGAAGTTTTTAAAGTACTTATTTTATAAAGAAAATTCGTATTACCCCCCCATTAATTTTCCACAGAACCTTCTGTTAAATCACTTTGGCGTGAATTCTTTACGGTCTAGAAGATTAATGCACTCGATAATTTTTTTGCATAAGATAATCCAAAACATCTTTGACTGTCCTCAGATATTAAGTTTTCTTAACTTTAATGTGCCTAGGTTAACTTCGCGTTCTCCTGCAACCTTCTGTTTGCCTATCCCTCGCACAAATCTCCTAAAAGCTTCTCCATTGTTTCAGGCATGTTCAAACTATACAAAAATTGCACATCTTGTAGATGTTTTTAATTGTACCACAAATGAAATTAAAGAAAACACTATACATATTTTCAGCATGACCTAAATTAACCGAGTATAAATGTGTTATTAATAGGTTGTTTGTATATTACTTATACTGCGTCTTCTCCATGTTATTTGTCACATGTTTGTTTTATACTTACTTATTATATAGGTTTAATCTCTTTTTTCTTCCCCTGTATTTTTCTATTTCTTTATATTGTAATTTTTCTTTGTACTCCCATTCCGTAACTGGAATTTTGTTTCTGTGGAATGGTGTATTCAAAATAAATAAATAAATAGATAATGTTTTATCAATATGATTCTAACTTATTGATTTTGTGTAACTGAAAATTTATTGTAATTAAATGATATAAATAGTAACAAAATTACTATGAAAATAACATTTGCAAGATTGTTTATGATTCAAGCAAAATCTAAAATAGTTAATAAGGTTGACAATCTTATGTGAGAACTATTGTTCGTTAACACTGAAAATATGCAGTATGTCCGCGGTTAGGGTGAATAAGAGCAAACACTTTTTTATTTTACATTTTACGGAAATAAGCCACACATGATAAAAAATTTTGCTTGATTTTAAAATGAGGTTACCGTTGTGGAACTTAACATTTCATGTACGGGGTGTCCAAAAAAATTAAGAATATGAAAATGCCATGAGAGTAAACTACCTTTATTTTTAATATTTCTGAAAAGTGATATTTTGCAAAAGTCGTACAAAAAAGTTGCTTGAGTTTTTAAATAAAACAATTTGCACACAAAATTGGTTTAATTTTTTACAGAACATAAACAATGTATGTATAATAAAACTTTATTCGAACACTCCTCCGTAAAAGTTCACACAAGTTTGAAGGCGTGCAAGGAATTCATTGTAGCTGCGTCTAATCTCTTCTAAAGATATGGACTGTACAGCATCTCTAATTCGTTGTTTTAGTTGCTCGATGTTATTGTCCAAAGGCCTGCTATACACAATATGTTTGAACCGGCCCCACATGTAAAAGTCCATGATTGTAAGTCTGGACATCGCGGGGGCCATTGATATGGAGCATGCTAGCCAATCCAGCGATTGGGAAATGTGTTCTGTAACCAGGTCAGCAGAATGCGCCAGACAACCGTCATGCTGGAAATAAAAACAATTTCCGTAGGCCAGGGGTAAATTGTCCAATGCATTAGTAAAAAAACGTTTGGAGCATATTCAGGTAGCCGTTTTCATTGCATGTATCTTCAAAGAATGGTCCTATTATTCCATAAAAGGATATCGCACACCATACATTTACTTTTTGAAATATTGCCGCCAAGATGGTATTCTAAAATGAGGCTTCTCGGTACTCCAATATCGCAAATGTTATGAAGCAACAATGCTATTTGTCGCCTTCCTCTAAAGTGTGGTTATGGATTGGTTTGTATGCTAGAATTTTGTTTTGTTTCAAAATTTTTTGTATGTGGGTCTTTTTCACAATTCCTAAGTATTCTGAGCGTCTCCTCAGTGACATGGTTGGATATTCATTCACTGACTGTAGAACTAGCACAGTAGCGGCATCTTCATCATCATAGCTTTTCTTTTGTCTAGGTCGCCAGTGACCCGGTCCTCAAATATTTTTATAATACTTGAGTATTTTTCATTGAAATCTTGAATTACTTGGCGATAACTGTTATCACCGTTACCGTAGCACTGTATTAGATATATTTTTTGCTGTAAAGTCAGCATTTATCCGATAATTAATTACTGTGTAATTCATTTTTGCTGACTTTTACTAGAAGCTAGGGCAGAAATACAGAAATTATCTTTATCTACGACCACTACTGTAAATACTTAAAAACACACCGTCTGCGATCAATGTAAGATTCCTATTACGTACGGTAAAAAAAGCGCACAGTTTTCCTAGCAACCGCCTAGCAACAGCCAATACAATACTGTTTGTATTGACCGTTGCTAGGCGGTTGCTAGGAAAACTGTACAATTTTTTACCAAGCTGTGCGTTTTTTTTTACCTTACGACGAAATAGGAATCTTGCAATAATCGCAGACGGTGTGTTTTTAAGTATTTAAAGTAGTGGTCGTAGGTAAAGTATAGTACGTAATACGTGGTGTAATGC